TAGGATCTTATTCTGAAGGTTTTGAACGATGTTTTGAAGTTTTGCGAGCTGGAGGCGAGCGAGGAGAATGGAGAAGGTTGCTTGAAGAGGAAAGATAGAAACAGAACATCAACGAAAGCCAGAATCCTTTTATATATCCAATAACCTCAGTACGAATATGACTTATACACTCCTATAACGGAAACTCATAGAACCCAAAAGAAATCCATGTTACTAATCCTAACCTCATTGCGAAGTACTTCCTCTTTATGCCCTAATAGAGTATCTGACCATTATGCAAAGACGCCGTTACAGATGACCCGTGAAATCTAATGACTCATCGAAGAAATCCCGAAAGAAAAATGATAACAAATGAAACTCTTAACTTATTTTCATTCTTCAAGTTATTAAAATCCGAAAACAAGGACAATTCTTAAAATACTGCAACAGAAAGTAAAAAGATACAATGGTATGATTGAGAATTGAGTATATTGTCCACAACGAGTATTCTCATCTACTCGAAAAACAATATATACATGGGTTTGAGAACAGACTAGATACAAAAAATGTGAAACATATCCTTATAGAATTTCCCGCAACAGATATGGTTGGTGAAGTTAACATCTTGCACGAAACAGTAGGAAAGCCAATATTCATTGGTACCGACTTCCCAATCGGAATGAAAATCTGTACCCAATATCGACGCATCAAGTGAAACAAAGGAAGTGAAAATGGAATAAAATATCTTCAGCAAAAGATAGAGAATTAATTGCTGTAAGAAAGGAAATAGTAGGGGAAAAGAAAGGAATCGTTTTCTACAAATTCCCGTTTCTGTTATCTTATTAATTATTTTCATTTTCTTTTTTTTTTTTTTTTTTATACTTTGGATTCTCAGATATTTGTCGTAACCTCCAGGCTCGTTCCAATGGAAGGCTTCCCGTGGATATTCTGAAAGTGTTCAAACTTGAAGCCTTGAAGATAAATTACAGATCTTGTATAGAAACGGCTACCAACTCTGTAGACACACCCTGGACGGATCTACAGACCACATTTGAACGCCTAGAAACCTTCAAAAATATCAACAGAATGGCTTCCAATCAATGAATCAGCAATCAATTAATCAACCCGCACCCAACCGACACCCGCCAAGCCCGACATCGAGTGATACTCCATGACCGCGACGTGCTCAAAAAACCCGAGTGCCCAGCGAACCTAAAAGGTCCTGCGATGTGCTGTCGCACGTTTTTGTGTATTTGTACGTACGGCTTTGTGAATGACAGTACATGTAGTTCCGCACGTCGAGTCGGCTCCCTACGTCGGGTATTGCGAGTGAGTCATAGAATATCACTCGACGATTAGGCTCGCTCACAGAATATCACTCGCGTCGTACCTAACCCGTGATCAGGGGTGTCAGTCTTGGTTTCTTGTACGTTGCAGGGGATGAGTGAACGTTCAATGATGACCACGTTGTGAACGACATATATCTCTGAGGTCCGGGAAGCACAGAATCATATCACTTGTTCCTGCTGGGGTTAGTTTACCCGTTAATGGCCCTTGCGAGGAACCGTGATGAGGTATGGGCCTGCGCGATGGGAATGAGTATGGGTAGGGCTTTGTATCTGGGCTCATCATGTGGGATGGCGGGCCGTTATCCACGATTAGGCTTAGGATGGCAAAGAACATCCGTCTATTCGGGGTGGATTGATGGGGACGCCTAAGATGTGTTTGCAAAGAAACTCTGCACAGGAGTATTGATGTGAGAAATAGCACCTTAAAATGATAAATCGCAAAGCTGACGCGGTGGCTTGTAGCAGGTCAAGTAATCGGGTGTTAGGGGTTACTCGTGCTGTCTTTATTCTTCTCTCTCATGCTGCCTTATTACACCTCTTGCAGTCCTTCAACTTTTGAGTCTTACTACTTGTTTCGCGAGGATTACCAAAACTGCCAAGGCTACCCTGATGCCCGTTTCTTTATAATTGGTCGGGTTGAGGTTGCAGTCACATGAGAGAAGAAGATAATATGAGTAAGTTATTATGAAATCGGGGGGATGGAAGTGTTCGGTCTGCACCCTACACATCCGCCCTTTCGTATATTTTTCACCAAAACGACTGCCACTACATGTATTGCAATCCCCTCTAACCAGATCAACGCAACCCCCACAGTTACATGTATCGCTTAAACAGTGGTTGTGTTCCATTCAGCCATGCAATCCCTTCAACACTGCGCCAGCCAGGATCAGTGACCATTCGTTGATGCTTCGCAGACAGTAGCGCTGCATGCAGCCACCCATGGTAGCTGATGGCGCGGCTCTCCAATGGAAAATGGTAACGACCCGGCCAGGACGAATGACGGAGGAATATTCGGATCCCGGCGGGTGAACCGAAGATATACCCGGGAGCATCAGCAATCCATCTTGCACCCACTCATATGGACCCACCAGTTGGCTCGAAATATGCGGGCAGCCATCTTTTCATTCTGGATTCGCAGCGCAGACGAGAAGGAGTGCAGCTGTCCTGGCAACGATAGAGCATTGAGCGTGACTGTGTGAGGCTGGCGCGCCATACGGATCAGATCCCCTGGCCAGCGGGCGTCACATATGGAGGCTGGGCTGAGCTAAGCGCGATAGGAGATAGTCAGTACTTTGGCTCAGGTTCCAGATTAGAAGGGAAAGAGGGAGAGGGGGTCAGCACGCTACAAACACCTGGAGATCTAATATTTCTCGGTGTGTGTGGTGGAGTACAATCACATGAGACAAACGCTCCGAGATGGAGGCATGTTCTTGTGCTTGAGGATCGAGGCGAACCGGAATCACACTGTTGAAGAAGCGCTGCAAGAGTCCGGGGGGGGGGGGGGGGGCTCGGTTGAGGATCGAGGGGGGGGGGGGGCACACTGAAACTATAGAAGAACCGCCGTCGTATGGAAAGAAGCTGAAGTGGTCGAGGTTCGATGGCCAACCGGCTACACTCCTACACTCCTCCCATGCATGCATGGCTGTGCTAGGCATGGTGGTTGTTGATGTTGTGGAGAAGAAGAAGAAGAAGAAGAAGAATAGAAGCGCGGTCCTGTTGGTTATATATATATATATACATGTATACTCGTAGGTCTGATACACCTGGCCTTGTGTGCAGAGGACTCTACGTGGTGGGTACAATATACGTATACTTAGCAAGCACAGTTCTAGACGTTGTTGGTAGATGATCGTGCGCGTGTCCTGAGTGGTGGGAAATAAATATAAATCCGCTGTTAATGTTACGCTGTCGTCTATCTACTCTACATGTAACCAACGATCAGGCCCCAAGAGCGACTGCTGTGGAGACGAATCGTGCAGATACCGAACTGGGGTCTCCGTTGCCTTGCGAACGCAAGAGAGGGCAGACATACATGTAATGCACGAAGAGACTGTGTTAGAGCACTTGACCCAACTGTATTCTTTCCTATGCATACATGTATGGTAGAGCTCTGATAAAACATACATGTAGTACATACTACTGCATGCAGCCGGTACACAGCCAAACCCAGTGATGGCTGCCTGATCAGCGCTGGGGGATTCGGGCGAAGATATGGAGCTTTGATCACTTGTTTCCTACATACATATACAACAAGCACCCTCCCGGGAAATACGGATCCATCATCCAACGCCAGGCCATCAACCGTTTGGCTGGAAGACTATGTACATACACTTACTCTACGCGCAGGACGAACTGTGCGAATGGGAAGGCGTCTCGACTTGAAAAAAACCAGGTTGGAGGTGGCTTCAATTGTAGACGCCATTTATTGTGAGCAGTTTTCTAACTCCCCCCCCCCCCCCCCGGGGACGGACAACTGTAGAATGGTGCATGTGGCCGAATCGGCTACATATGTACATGCTGTTACGAGTTCAATTGTTGCCAGAGGTCTGCAGCGCAGTCGAAGAAACAGCGAGACGTAACTAAGTTTCCTCTATACGCGTATTCCACGTGTATTGAATTTCAAAGTTATTTCCTCGTTCACCCCGGCAAATATCACCGATGCCCTTGAGGCGTCCCACTGAAATTAACTAGGAACCCTAACCCTAGGAGATCACCGCGCCCTGCATCCGTACAGCGAGGGTGCTGTGAGTTTGAGCTTTGGAGGCAGACGTTTCGGGTTAGCGATACGACGCCCCGAGAAGAGCCCCCACCCGCTCCAGTTGACGGAGACAATTAAGGGCACAGGACACATACCCCCCCTACGCATCTCCGGCCAGCAGCAGTTCATTCCTCTCTGGCCTTTGGAACCCAAGAGTCTTCTCTGGCGCCCATAGCACCCATGGTTATATATACTGGGCGCGCTCCTGCAACGCTGCATATCGGTGCATTCAATGGGTGTTTCTCCGCGGCTAGAAGCGGATCCGTACTCAATCACTGGGGAGACGGAGTGTAGGTACCTAGAACTGCGGATCCCCCGTCCCAGATTACACACGACCAAAACCTGGGAAGGACACGGGTAAGATCTCAATGTCTTTTTGAACAATAGTAAGGCGGTGTATATATACCGTTATTTCTGGGAAATAAGCCCATGGGCTTAAAGCAAAGTAGTGGTAGAAAAATGCTTGCTGATTGGCTTAAGTCACGGGAATATGCATACACCACCGGTTTTCATTGACTTTCCTTCCACCATTTTGCTACAAGCCCATGGGCTTATTTCCCAGAAATAACAGTATTCCAGGACGTCACAACATGATAATTGGCGTGGGGTGATACCTGAGAACTGACTGATCATGCTCGAAACAGACCCCCCGTTTCTCAGGCCGGAAGTAATGTTACCGGGTCCGTCGGTTATCTCTTTGAGAGTTGCACAGCTTGATAGATTTCGATCATGAAAAGTAAAAGAAAAGAAAAAAGCAAAAGGAGGAAAAAGCAAAGGAAGCTACCCTACATGGCGGGAAAAGAGCAAACAGGTTTAGGTGTGCAACTCGCAATGCAACGACGTCGGAAAAGACAGAAAATAACAAGCTAGGCTGCGGGACAAAAGCAGTCACCAAAGGTCCCGACAAATAGCACTCAAGCGCCCGTATGAATATAACACGCCCACTTGATGGGCTCTTTCCGGGATCTGTCTCGTGGCTTTTTGACTGCAAGATGAAACGAAAGGCTGACATGTCCGCGATCACCTCCGCCGCTGCCCTTGAATAGCTGTTTGTAAAACTCTTCCGCAACTTCACGACGCGCAATTTCGTTTGAAACCCACTGAGTAGCCAAGACATAGATAAAGCGTGCAAGCTGAAAAGCACTCGCAATGTGTATTGACTCGTCCGCAAGAGGGCGAGAAGAGTTCTCGGCGGTCGAGCATCTAGAGAGATAGGCTATCTGCGCGTTTTCAATATTCGCAGCCGAGATTCTTTCGACTGTTAGGTTATCAAGCATTCCTGTGCCATCGTTCAGGAGTAGGCAACTTTGGGAGGGGCTTTTACAGTCAGAAACAGCGTGACAGGCAAAGTGAACTGCTTGGTACCCAGGGAGCTTCCTAATAATGTATTCTGTGCTGGGGACGTTGGCATAGTAACCACGAGGAGGGATGAGCCGGGTCTGCTCAACAGTTGCGGTTTTCTCCGGCGGGCATAGGATAATGCCTTGATGGTTGGGATGTAGGAAGATATAACGTGGCTGTAGGTGTTTTCAGTGGAGCGGCGCGAGTGTCTACCAGCAGCGTGAAACGGAGCCATAGCTAGACCTCCGGTGCCAATCCACCAAACCCGCGGTAACTTGTCGCCCGACATTTTCAGCTGCAGCTCGTTCAGTACAGGCGCTACTGCAGAATCCCATAACCACGACAGAAGTTTGTCCATTTGGGAATTGTTTTCTCCATACTTGGATCTTGCAATGCGCACAAGTGTCGGTATCTTTCTCATCCACGATTCGGCATCTTCGTAAATCAATTGCGGTAGCATAAGAGACTTGATTGAGGTAGCGGTCACGATAATTGCGTCGTTCCTGAACTTTGTGCAAAGAAAAGTTACAATCGGCCCTTCAATAGCCATAGCCATCAATTCGTCGGACCGAGGGGGGAGCTGAAAGCCTTCAAAACCAGGCAGGTCTCGAATATCTGCGACAAGTTCCTCCATACCCCTGACTGAATTCGCTCGGTCCCGATGGTCTTGCAGGTGCTTAGATCTCTGGTGTCTCAACTGGTCAAGCATCTCCGCCATTGGTGGTTCAGTTGAAAGAGGTTAGTCGATTTCTTTGCATAGCCTGTTGAATTTTGTGAAAAGATCCGGATGTGCTTCTTTGAGATTTGATATATCCGTTTCGCTTCTACAATCCATCACCATGCCCATAATCACCCCTCGACCAAATTCCAAGATCCTAAGGCAACACGCCACGTCCTCCTCCCCCGCTTTGAATAATAACTGTATAGTATTCACTACGAGGTCCCTAAACTTTGCCAAGTGATGTTGCTGATCCTTTCTGCGCAAGGACCGTTTGCTGACGTTCCGAAGAAGCATAATAGCACTTTGAAGAATCGGACGCAGCTCCTGCCACATGTGCTTTTCTGCAAGAATCGTGCACAGCAGGGACGCTGCCCGGATACGTTCCTCCACCGGGGATAGGCGGCAGTGCCAGGCTTCGTAAAACGTACTCAGTGCGTAGTAGAGGTCGTGATTGGACTGAGTGGCCGAGTAACGCTTATGTATTGCGGTACCAAGCATCAAGAGATTGGCTGCTCTGCGTGGGTTGTTTCGGGGTGTTTGTGCCACTACCTCTTCGGCATATTTTATGCAATCTTCAAGGTTTTGCATTTTTTGGGACTCGTTATAAGAGTCCAAGAGCAAGACGCTCATGAACATACTTATTCCGCTACGCCGCAACGACCTGTTTTTATCAACTGCGTCAACCGGCACTGTCTTACATGCTTGAATTGCGTCAAGCAGTTCTTGCTGATTATTGGACTTCTTGTACTCCCGACGGACAACTGATAGAAGCGACAGACACTCGGAAAGGTGATCTACTACTTGCGGTTCAAGCTGGGAACCCATTTGAATCATTTCCACAGCTGTGTCAAGGTCCTCTTTATTTCCCCGCTGATCGTACCTCGAGATTAGGAGTGAGCCCAAAAAGGCTGAAAACACAGCTTGGCCCCGGTGGCTAGCTGCTATGATACTCAGTGCCTGCCCGCAGAGATCAATGGAACGGTTCAAGTCGTCAAGACCTCCAAGGAGCTCGAATCTCGTATTGTAATGCGAGGAAAGACGCATCAATAGCTCGACTGACGGATTGCTATTATCCAATGATATAGCTTTCTCAAGATATCCGACTGACGTTTCAAGGTTTATAAATTCGCCGTATCGATTATATATATCGGTCTGTGTACAAGCCCCCAAGGTCGCGCAGTCGGTCACTGAGCTGGTATCTAGGGTCATTGAATCCCTCTGCTAAAGCTATCTCTACGCTCATTTTACCCGCTGTAATGGCCTCCTCAAGCATCGTCATGTCTGCCGAGAGCATGTAGTACTCCCAATGGGTCCTTGACATGTTTGCCAAGGCTATTGCCCTTTCTGAAGCACCAGGTTTTGGAAGAGCTAATATCTTCTTGGCGTATTGGATGCTCCGCTCATAGTCATTGAAATTCTGTAGGTCGGCAAACCGCGCACTTGACATTTCAAATAGGCAGAACCAGCGCGTGAGACGGATAGGATCATCATCAGTCGGGGCTGGACTGGCTTCTTCCAATATGTTGATTGCCCTGTAACGACATCCTTTGCGTTTGAATTTGAATTGCATGATCTCAAGGCAATTGCTCAAAAGGATAATATGCCTTAACCGGAATCGATGGTCTGGAGAGGTTATTGAGTTTTCCAGAGCTTCAATAGCCCCCTCGAGGTCTTTGATATCTTCGGATTGCCGATACTTTAAAATGTGTAAATTGACCGAGGTATCTCGCCGTACTGGAAGATCCTCATTGTCAATGTCGGTTCTATCAACTAATTCTTTCGCATAAACTAGCGCCTGCACAAGATCTTTCACTGTCTTGGATTTCAAATATTTCTCGCCTGTTGAGATGGCGAGCGTTTGGAGCCAGACCTCTCTATCAGAATCCTCGTCCCACATCTCCATGACCACCTCCTTATTCCAGCGAATCATCTCTGAGAGGTCATCATCTGCGCCCAGTAGCTCATATCGCACCTGCATAAGCCCTACCAGCACTTGCGTTACCCTCAGTCGATATGAGTTCGCTGGATCAGCTGCCGCCACTGCCTCTTTACTCAGATCGATTCCCTGGTTGAGGTGTTCTGGTTGCTTGAGTCTCCGGTACTTGATGAAAAGAATCATGCTTGCCTTCGAGAGTCTTTCTGGACGATCTACATTATCCAATGGTAGTTTTCTGGCCGCTGTGAGAGTTACATACAGCCCTTCGTCGAGATCAGCGACGAATTCCGGATTCTGATCATCATTCTTTTCGAAAAAATAGGAAGGAATGAGTTCTTTCACGGTCAGTGCACTACCAAGTGGGCCAGGATCATGCTGCGCAGCGGCGCTCTCCGGGCGTATGGTTTCCAAAGAGAACATGCTTGATAGACGAATAATTTCCTTTTTGAAATCAGCACTAGCTTCTGGCACATGCTGTCCGCCGCTTTCTGTCCCATCTCCTGGGACGCTTCCCGTATAAATCTGTTCGACCCTTGGTAGTCATCCGGGGGTGTCAGTCTTGAAGCAATAACCTTCGACCAGAACGGAGAATGAGAGCCTATAACTAACCCCTCCATTAAGTCTTCCACGTTTCCCTCTGTATTTATTATATCCTTGTGTGCTGATTGTAGACGTTGAACGTCTGCTCTAATTCTCGGATCAATGGTTTCCAAATCCAGCCCTTCGGCCACTCCAAAGCGCCATCCAGGTACACCTGGCCTCCCGTCGTATCAAACATCAGCGCCAGCTGCTGAAACAGATCAACAACATTATCCGCGCCTCCCTCCGGACACGCATTCCCCGCATACATCGGCGATCGATTGCTTGTTTCCGGCTTACTTCTCTGCAGCAGCATCCCCGCGATACTCCCACTAAAATTCCCACACTTCAACAATCCCAAACCTCACACCACACGCCAGAACAGGGTCTTCCACATTTCCATTTCCCATTCCCTCCTTCTCCGCCCCCGCCAATTCCCCACGCATCTTCGCCAGCAACGACTCAACCGACTTCTCCGACCCGATCAGGCGCTCGGCCATCTTGATGGCGATGTTGAGATGCATGGCATTGCCGCCGGAGAGGAACATGCGGTGGAGGCTCTCGATGGTTCTGATTCCGTTGAGGAGGGCTAGGATGCATTGTGCGGTGGTCTGGGTGGGGGTTGGATCGCCCATGTGGGGGTTATCCATGGCTGGAAGTGGGTGGGGGTGAGGTCTCCGAGAGGAGGAGTGGGCGGACGAGGCGTGTATGTGGTGGTGTTGAGGTTGTTGGGGATGGAGGTTGTGGGGGATGGAGGTTGTGGAGGAGGATATACTATTTCGACTTACCTGCAAGAAACACTTTGACCGAGAATTTCACGGTTTATGTTCACCCATCACTACCTCCGGGGGTGAGCATGGTATATATATATGCGTTATTCCCTGCGTTTGTGGGCACATTATCCATGAAGCTATTCCAGATTCATACACGTAGTAACACCGTGGGGGCGTATGACCGATTATTTGCGCGTGTTGCGGGTTTTAATAGCGGAGATGTCTGGATCTGGCGAGGAGCGTTGACTCATATTCGATGCGCTGGGGTAATGATTGGTGGGGCCTGGGGTGGAGAACCATGAGTTCGTCCGGAAACTACGCACATGATGATGATAGTCTACAAGCAGTGCGAAGGACACATGGCTTGAGGGACTCGTATAAAGGAGAGCTAGTTCATGCACGACCATGCTATCATTATTTCCACCTCGTTGCCTCAATTATCAATTCGTCACGGTGGTACCGTATGAGCAAATTCAGGTTTATGTGGGCTTCAGTCAGACTATCTTTGTTAAATATCCGAATAGGTGAGATCTCGAGATCCATCAGTTTTCGGCAATCTGAGAAGGTCACTGCCATGTAACTTGATGCAAGGCTGACACTTCCACTGCCAATTGCAAAACGCACAATATGTAGCCTTGTCCGGGCCGGGGGTGGGGAGCGCCAATGCCACTAAAGGCACAACATCCTACCCAATTTAACAATATTACGAGTTTGAAACTTGAAAGACAGCACTCTCTTTCAATGCAAAAGTAGCCTAAGATACTTTGTAAAATTCAGGACTCCTCCGACACACATCACTCACCTCGAAGCTGCAAGTACCTTCTTGTAGACCGCGAACGTAGTACAATTCAGCTAAGTCAATGACAGCTTCAGACTAACACTCGATAATCCCAACGTCGAGCACCCCGACAACACATCATATTGCTGCATGATTCCTCCAACCTGCTGTGGTGGTTTGTGTCAAGTGCGCAGCGGAAAGATCTACCTGCGTCTCATGCAGGCTGGGCTGCGCACATATTCCCGTGCAGGCTGGATTGATTGACTTGCATATATATGACATGTCGATTTCCACTCCAGCACCACACACGCCCGTGGAATGTTTCACGTTCAGACGTTTCTGATTCGACGCTGCTTAGGATCTACACCGTATCTAACACACGTCAGGAAACAGAAACAGTTCACTCAGCTCAACGCAGATCGAGGTGCAAGCACTCAAGTATTCAAATTCTCTACACCTTCGAATTCCCATCGTCACCTCCAGAAATTAAGAGCCTATATATAACCAAACATATATAAATCCACAGTCAGTCATTCCTCACCACCTCACAGTACGTACAGCGCCGGCCCACAATGACAGCCACCGCGCACATCCTACAGCACCTCCTCCCCCCTCGACTCCGTCCGCCTCGGCCGCCTCGTCCTCAACGGCAAACGCCCGCACCAACAATTCCACGACCTGCTCCCGCCCCGCCCTGACGCCACCGACATCCTCACCACCACGCTCTCCCCCTACTCCGAGACCCGCAAGTTCACCGCCGCCTCCAACCTCCGCTCCTACTCCGGCGAGGCCCTCTCCTTCGCCTTCACGCCACGACGACACCACCGCCACCCTGTCCGGCTCAAAGGTCACCTCCTACGAGCTCAAGAACTCCGAGGCGAGCGCGCGGGTGTTTCTCGACACCTCGATCTCCGGCCGCGACACCGTGTACCTCATCGTAGGCTTCCACGTGCTGCACGACGGCGAGGTGGACAGAACGTCGACCTCGAAAAGGACGGATGGTGCCGCGCAGGGTGAAGCACCGGCGAACCCTGAAGCCCCAGCGCCTGTGGCGCGGCAGATGAGCGGTTCGAGGAGCTCCGGGGACACGCAGCAGCTATCGTACAAGCCGCAGGAGGAGCAGGTGTTTGCCGTGCTGTACCGCAAGGTGAAGCTGCGGTTTTTCTCCGTGCGGAGCGTTGATAACATGGCGCTCGAGGCAGACTGCCGGTGGAACACGTTCTGGGATTGGCAAATTAACTCTATGAGCGTACGCAGGAGAGGGCGGGGGAGGCAGGTGGTGATGGTGCGTATCACGGAGGCGACACTTGTGGATGACGATGTGGAGGGAGAGGAGGGAGAGGAGGAGGAGGAGGCATCGAGGTGGCGGTTGAAAAGCCGGCTTTGATCGCGAATGTGAGGGAGGTTGAGGGAGCTGGCGTCGCCGACGGGGGAGATGCCGAGTAAGAGGCCGGCGGGTGATAGGTGGTGGAGTTCACTGGCTTGAAGACATATTCGAGTGCGCTGTGGTTCTAAATCGGGGCGATATCAGATTCTTTTTGGTTCACGAGTCTCTTCTTTTGAATTTTCTGGGGGCTGGGATATGGTATACACATTACCGCCGGGACCTTTTTAAAGGGATGCGCTGTGGATAGACCAGAGATCGAGCAGGATCGTCGTGGGTATACAGCGAGTAGCTGAGATTTTAATATTGATATGCGGAGGTGTGAGTGCCCGCTAAAGGCCCGAGAGGTCCACCTGCAGAATAGGCTAGAATTGTGGATAAGCACCAATTCCCAAAACCTTTATTGCTAACATAGCTTGACATTCACCTAACCCCTCAGTATGCGAGCGGCACAGCCCCCAATATCTAACGGGCCTTGCATGGGATAGTTCCTGGCTACAATAAATCCAAACAGTACCTTGCCTCATGCTCATCTCTTCCAAACCTCATTGTGCTGCTTCCTGACTTGACTTAGCTCTAAAGAGCACCGTGGTTTCTCTCAGCCCGGGGTTTCCCCGGATTTGGGGCATGTCTCGTTACTCCGGTTCCCCCGTATCCAATCTTACATGACGCGGGCCGGTGAAGGCGATATATTGTGGGTTATGGTTTCTTTTGGTTTTCATTTTTTTTTTTGTAGATTTGTTTTCAAACAATTCATTCCTTTCTTCGTTCCTCCTTTTCTTCTCGTGTGCAGGGAACGGCGAGAGTATTTCTTCTTCGCGAAGAATCACTGCTCTCGGTGGTTTTAAATTTGGACGACACAGCTTCCTCGTTACATATATAGGAGGACAAGTAGTAAGACTATGCGACGTAGTACATAATCACCAGACGCAACAATAAAATACCAATAGACTATCGTGCGGAGCTTTCTGACTTGTGATACTCACAAATGATCACGTTGCTAAACTGTTTGGTGGTATAGTAACTGAGATATATATCTCTTAGGCCTTCAGTCCAAATCGAAGTCGAAATCGTGACCGAACCGGTAGATATGTTCGATCGCAATGCTCTACTAAACGCAGTTCATGTTTATTCTTTCCTCGATCGAGTTTCTTAGATCTCACACGCTAGTAGAAACCTTCACTTGTTCCACTGTAGAGGTGGGTAGAGATTGAACAGTAACCGCGCCCAACATATCTGCCGGTGCGGTCACGATTTATATTTGGACACACCGCCTAAAGGATATGCCCATCTCGTAATTAGAACTGCTATGCTGTTTGGATGTATTGTTTACAGTCTAATTATAGGCTTGACCGGGGGGATAAGGTTCACACTTTCAAAAGTAGGCCCATGCTCTCGTAGTTTGAGTGTGCTGATATGATCTTGTAGTAACAGTGGAGAGATAAGGACGGTACTCTATGAGCCCTCCCACCCAGCGGATGAGCAAACGCTTTAACATAAAATGCTTCAGGGACACCAAACACGAGACGTATGCAGTCAAGCCCCGCCTCCTGGGCCCGCAACAACAAAATGAGTACTCGGATGACCAAGACCGAGTGATAGGCTGTGATCGAGTGATAGCCTGTGATCCACCATTTATTATACGAGACCGCTTTGACCCCCACCACCTCCAACATGAATATACTCAAAAGAAAGTTGCTGGCCGGCTTCACAACTTGCTTCGCCCTTGGGTTTCCATTTCGAGGAATTAAATTCGGGTAAAAAAAAAGATTTGAAATATGCTCCACCGGGGAATTGAACCCACATTACTGGCTGTCGTACTAAGTTTCCTTTCCAATGCATAGACCACTATGCCAAGAGAGCTTGAAGGACTACGTGCAAGAGAGGATGGCAAAGATACATTTTGCATTAATCACAGAGTGTTATCTCAATGGAGTATTTTCAAGTGTGAGATATGCAAAGCGAAATGGGAGGTCCGGCCCCACCAGCGTAATCGTTCCAACATTAGCTACGTACAAGACCGTATCAACATCTGCTTATCATTATACCAGTATCTGATGAGCCCCACTGGGGCGCCTCATTCCATCGCAGAAGTCCTACCAAAGACATGTGGCCAATTGCCCAAAGCTTGAAAATCTGTCTGTAACCAAGCACGAACACTGACCCCGCCAATAACATTTTATTCGTTGTAATGTCCTTTTGTCGTGGACATACCGGTCTAGAGACAGGAGGTTTTGTGGATACATATCAGGGACTTGGAGAGGCTTTCGAACAAGTCGAATAGATGAGCAGAGTAGCTTAGTTAACGGGAGGTGAGCGCTTTCGGATGTGCTCTGTGTAGATGGCACGATCGCGACTGAGAACCCTGGCCATCCAGGAACGTGTGTCCCCGTATGGGAAGGCCAAGTCCCGAGTGGCTCAAGCCCCTTCGTTATAGCTAGGCTCATCCTAAGAGGGTAAAGCCTTGTTACGGGAGATGTGTGTTAGGGTTAGGGTTAGGTTGGTGAACTGTCAGTGTCGCACTAATCGGCGGGTGGTGGTGGTGCACACATCAGACGCTGCCTGGAAAGAATTATTATCTAGATTTACTCTACAGGATACGAAAGGAGCTTTATTGTCATCGATTTTTCGGCAGTACTTCTCCCAGATATCGACCTATGTAAATACTAGTATATAAGATCCAGAACGTCACGCTCCCAGTTGCAAGCGGCAACTAGTGCCAAAACACAGGATATTCAATTCGAAGTTAGTTAGATGGGTACTCATGATATATATATTATAATATCTTACTGGGTTTCCGCAATTGTACAAGTATATGAATCTCGAATTACTCTGCAAATAAATCAGCAATGTTATTGATAAAAGTCTTTTTCTTTCGCAGGGTCCCTCGATCATTCAAACTAGAGTATACAACTCCGGGTCCCTAATGACAATCGCAGCAAGTCGAGGGAGATACCCGAGGGATCCTGGTAGAGTTTGGGAATATTATAATGTCAAAGCCATATATGTATACTCTATACATGCTACTGATATGATGACTTGGTAGATGATGTGACAAAACAAGGAGCAGACGCTTAGCAATTGGGTAGACCCCTTGCAAGTGGTATTTGGGAAACTCTAGTATCCTACAGGCTGATACAAAGTAAGAAAGAATAGAATGGAAAATAATGTATGCATGGTTGATCTAGCTCTGCAATCCAGGAGGTACATATATTGCTGCCTAGCCTTCAACTCAATGAGGCACTAAAAGGTACATGTATACTCCATGCGTGTATGATACACGGATCGTAAGGCCCACGCCTATTAACACTAATACCTCTATATCAAGCCACCGCAACCCATGACATTGTAGCAGAGCGTACGATGGCCCTCCACCAAGTACCCGATATAAGTTTCATACCATTCTTATCATCATTGACCGTTACTGGCTTATAACACAACCTCATTCCCCCAACCTTCTCGTCGAAGTTGATGGCGGATATTCCCACCATCACATTGTCCTTGGTCACCCCTTCCAATGTCTTCCCAAATGGGACGTCCTGTGGGTCAGTCCAAACGTGACTGTTATCCGCAGCAACCGTGCCCTCTCCATCGCCTATTTTGATATTTTCAACCCTCCCACCGGCAACTCCATCTTCCTCCGGCATGAAAGCGAGCCATGAGAACAGGCCTTGGTTCAGGTTTGTCTCGGTCCCTTTCTCGACTACCAACGTGAAGCCGGTCTTCTGCCTCTCTGTGGCAAACGCCTTCAGCTCCCAAGTGCCCTCGAAACCCATCTGGAAGCCACTAATCCACACAAGGACTGTCGGAAGGTGATCACCTTCAAAGGGTGTCTCAAACTCGATCGGAAACTTTGAGGGCATTTTGGAGCGGCGTGACGTCCTGACCGTGCCGGATCGAAACCTGTTGTCTGTGGCCTGGTATGCCAGCCAGGCGCAGCCAGAAGAGCTCATTTGACCATCTCCCCAGACACTGAGGCGGGTATGGAAGTAGTCTCTCTCAATGCATTCGGTAGTTGCCTTGACGCCGATGGCTTTACTTAAGTGGTCGTCGTGCATGGAGAGGTCAAAATGCTTTAATGCAATGACGACGTTTGGAGCATCGAGGTACGCTTTCTTGGGAAGGTTTTGTGTCAAAATAAGATCGGTCTGGTCCTTGATATCTGACCAAGCACGCTCAGATTCTCTGTCGATTACTCCCGCGAAAACTTTGGGAGGATGTTGCGTCATTGCTGTGGCTGGGGTGATCCTGAGAAGACGAAGCGATGGGTAATGCAGTTGAGATGGTACGTCTGTGTAAGATTGACGGAACTTTGTGGGCTGTTATTCGTAAAACCGCTGGCTTTATAGGAGAATGATTGTAATTTAGCTGAGATCAAGATGGGCCGAAGAAGCTGTTTATATCCTGACTGTTTACGCTCCTTTACCTCCGTACTAGTATAGGTACTCTGTACGGCCGTCACAAGAGAGGATATACTCCTCATCGGCATGGCACAATTGCGAAGATTGAGACAGTAGAAGACTCCATTCCCACAGGGATTCATTTCTATGGTCATATCGGGTGTCCTTGAGCCTGTTGGACCCAAACTGCCGTGAACACCACAACGCGCGCCTGCATGAGCTCATATTCCCAGAAATGGTACTGGACCGCCGAATAGTGAATGGGATTCCCCTCCCTGATCAACCCCGCACTCCAATTCTGCTGAATATCACGATGACGGTGTAATCGAATGATCGTTGAACCATGAAGATAAAACACAAATGGAATGTGGCATCCAATGATATTAAGCTATGAAGCCCACGGATATGACTGCGGGCGGTTTCGAAATAATTCCCCAGGGCGCCTCGAAACTACCCATTGGATGAGAACTGACTATACGCCGTCACAATGTATAGATACTCCATGTCCTTAGATATTCACATACCGTATATCCGTAGCTTGAGTGTAATTCTCGCACACTAGGATAAAATGTTCAGCTCCTCTCCCGCATATGCATTCTGCTGATCAAATACACACTCGTATCTTCCCGACGTTTGTAAAAGGAAGTTAACCGCTCTGGCATACCGTAAAATCTAAGAAATTTCGTTGCGCTGCAACAGGGATATTCTACACTAAAACTTGCATATTGACGTCTAAAGACTGCCTCTGGTTGCCTACACCTCTGTTGTCTCGCAACGAATATTCTCAGATTTTGCAGCACCATACTCTACTAAATTGCGGACTTGGCGCGCATTTGTATGGTATGCAATAGTGGATCCTTTTACTCGCGCGTTATGTAGATCACCGAGTTAGACAGGAAGAAATACAATATGGCCTCGATGGGTGGGTTCCGGTGCCTGAGTGAATGCAGAATCTTCCGCCAAGCCTCATCTTGATTGGGCCGGCTGTGCCCTTCCACCACAAAAATCTGCAATTGACCATAAACGTGGGCGGTGATCGACATCATCTCAAGATTGTGTCAAAGCGTAAGGGTCGATCTAAACTAGAGTGTATTGCACGTACTATGTCGCAATTACCCCGCATACTAATGCCGGATTGCATTCATTTTCTATCAAAGTCGAGCTGAAATGTGTATGCAGTACTACGGGCTGCGTTGTCAACTCCAACCTGCGTCTTCAAACAGATTTAGAATCCCGTTCAACTGGATAAACCTCTAAACATGCATTGTCGGTTCGATATCAATGCCGAAAAAGGGAAAAACTGCCGTCTTGAAAACAGGCAGTAGTATTCTTCAATATCATCATGATATGCATGACCGGGAGGAAACTCGGTGTTACATCACCTTTTGAGCCATGAATTGAGCGCATGACTCGATCTTTGTGTGCCTGACGGAGACAGGATGAATGCTCTTCTCCGAGTTAGATTGTAACATAGCACCGGTCACAACTGCCGGGAGAGCAGCCATATGGCTATGGCCTAGACCGGCATTCAAGTATGGCCCCATTCTTTATTCCCAAGGCTTTATGGGAGTCTAGGATGTTATCTCTTCCATGCAGAGGTATCGTGCCTCAATAGGAGCCACTCAAATAGATATAATATTCCCTAATGTCTCTCACAAACTAATATCCAAGTTGAAAAGAGCTTATCCACATCCACTCTGAAGTGATAGCTTGATCCTACCAGACCACGGGTGCTTCTACCATTTCGAATCTCACGCTTCAGGTCGGAGAAGGGTACGCCGGAAATACTGATAACCATGGCCGAAGGAACGAAGTGTACGGTACCTCTGTTTCCTTTCCCGAGACACATAACCTCCTTGACCTTCTCCCTTTTCTTTAAGCTTTGGGACGATCGCTGACATGTGAGATCTAGATGCCGTGCTCATTGACGCAGGATCTAGCGGGTCTCGGGTCTATGTCTATCAATGGGTAGTCAATCGCAGAGAAATGCATAACACTGAGATTGATTTAGTCCCTGGCTATGTCAGCAAAAAGACGAATCCTGGTACGCTCTTGTTCACATCTGCCCTCACCAGTACTGGGAAAGCCACCATCCTGGTGAACAGTCCATCGCAGTGCTAACATCGTCCACCTCTCTCCAACAGGTATTGCCACCTTGGCTCCTGTGATCGCTCCCATCAAGGCAGTCGACCTCGATGCCCCTGTGCATCTCTCTGAACAGCTTCCGCAAGCGACAACTGCTAAGATATCTGCGGAGACACTCGACAGAGTAAAGAAATACCTGGGCCCACTCCTCGACCATGCCTGTACTTTCATTCCAAAGTTGGAGATTAGGACCACTCCGCTGTTTATACTGGCAACGGGTGGCATGCGGCGTATCGAGCTCACCCAATACGAGTCTTATCAGGTCCTCCTCAATGCCATCAACACCTACCTCTCCAGCACGCCCTTTGAGGAGACCACGTATGCCACAATATCCGGCGAGGACGAGGCAATGTATGGCTGGGTGGCTGCGAACTTTGTCGATAAGTCTTTCAAGCCAGACGGCACCCCCCACGGATTCATGGAGCTCGGCGGTGAGAGTGCACAGTTTGCGGTGTCCCTCAAACGTGATGAGAACCACGGTGAATACAATGGCCCCCTCCGTCTGGTGAATATCTGGGGCAAGACCTACGACGTCTATGTCAAGACCTGGATGGGAATCGGGAATGACAGCGCGTGGAAGCGCCACCTCGAGAAGCTGCGCGCAAGTGATAGCGCAATGCCATTTGACCCGTGCCTGCCCAAAGGATACTCGTATCGTCTGTCGGGATGTGACAAGATCGTGATGGGCACTGGAAACTTTGCCGCGTGCATGAAGGAGGCCCTCTCGCTCCTGACTTGTCCCGACCCCCTCTGCCGTGACGGTGATCTGTGCATCTATCGCTGCAAGGCCGGCGGGGACCTCGACAGCCCAGAGTCCGTGGGATGTCTCCTCCGCGACGAAAGCACCGGACACCCGTTGCTGGAGTTCGACAAGGAGAAATTCAGTGGTGCGTCTGTGTACTGGCACGCCACGCATGGCATCTTTCGCAGCTCGAACAACAACGACAAGGAAGATTTCAAGGCGTTCTGGGACACTGTCGTGGATTATTCCAAGAAGGACTGGGAAACCTTGAAGGCCGACAGGCCCAGGGAGCGCGAGTCAAACTACAAGCACCTCCGACGTGGATTCTTCACGGCGGCGATGGTGATGAGTACGCTGTTTCTGGGGTTCGGAATCCCCATGCCCCCACAGGCTGTGAAGGCCGCCCGCGAATTCGCCACCGAGAGAGTAAAGTATGCCAAGATGGCCGCAGAGAATGCGGAGGAGGATGCACAGGATGGATCAAGAGTGGCCTACGCAGCTCTCGAGCGCAAACTGAAGGCGGCGGAGACAGCGGAGGAAAAGGCCATCGAGGCTCAGGCGGCAAAGGAGCAGAAGGATAGGGACAACGGATCGGTCTCACAGGCAGAAATCAACTCGGATATCCAGGAACTCAAGGAGATCTTCCTGGCCATACCCAACGAGCCCAATAGAGAGGACCTCATGTTCGCCTTGCAAGACACCGAGAGAGCAGGCGATCACCTTGAAGATTGCAAACTGAAGGCCAAAGAGGCAAGGAGTGACAGGAAGAAGGCGGCAGATGAGGCAAAACAGGCGTACGACAAGCTTCTCCGCGCAAAAACGAAAAACAGATCTATTACCCGTATGCAGGAGAGAATCTGCAACGGCGAAAATGTAGACCAAAAGTTGGAGGAGGCGTACAATAACCAGAACGACAATACCAAGTACTCCAGTCTCAAGGATGCCGACTGGACACTGGGTAGGATAGTTCTGCATGTCGTTGGTTGCACTCCAAAGATTGTAACAAAGGAGGGGTGGTTTGGTCGAGTGTCCGATTAGTTAAGCGCGTAGGGGTGAGTATAGAGGAGGAATGTAGATGCAGCGACGTGGGGGCAGCCGTGGGGGGGGGGGGGGGGGTTATGTGGGGGAGTTTTCATTGGATCCATGTATACATGTCTAAGGCTATGTGAATGGTCAGTGGGTCGATCATGACGTAGTTTAGGAAGGGTCGAGGAGAAAATATGTACGCTTCACCGGCATTATTCATAAGACGCCTAGCAGCTCATATCATAAATATGATGTCTTATCTGTCAGTCAGATGAAACTGAACTGTTCTGAGACTAAAACGAAAGATCCCATGGCGTCTATCTAGGTTGTAAGATCTATCAAAGTAGTACTAGAGATTATCTGTACCCAGTCTTTGCACCTGGCGACAAATTAATCGATGGTTGAACGGAGGATATGATGGTCTCCCCTGTCGGCGTGATAAAGTGCTTAGATAAGGTTGTAGTAGCTGCAGTGATATATGCATGTACATACCCATAGCAAGGGGCGTAGATATTGATATCTGTCAATTGGGGTTCACGAACACCGTATACTCTGACACCTCGTGTGTATTGGAAAGCTAGTCCCTGATCCATTAAGATATTGGCCTTTTCCCGGTATTTATAGTAAGGAAATCTAACAATCATACAGGTATCTTCAGAGAAGTACATATGTCTTGGATCGTGGCATGCAGCACATGTTCATGTAGTTGACAATTAAGTGCATGTAATCAATTGCACGCAACATCGGTAGAGTATATGTACCAAGCTACATGTACTCTACCGCTGTACTCTACTTCGCCAGGGGACCCCAGTACGCCAAGCCTGTTCCTGCATATACAGAGAGTATATGGCTGTGTCACCGCGGGAGATCGCCCGGAGAGTTCCGCACCCGCACCCATGCAGGTCAACCCTTGAGCCTCATCATGTCTCGTGAGGGGGGCCGGGCTAGATCCTGGATAAATTCCCCGTTTAATCACATCTACACCGCACATCACATCAATACATTATAAAGACACCAAAACTCAAGTCCTTTGTGGCTATGGCAACCGGCAATCAAAACTCCCGAGATTGCTCACTGAGTCTTAGGTACGTATTCCCGTGTGTTGCTTGATAAAGTCAGATTCAGACTAGCTGACCAGCCTGGCCCCACAGCCTTTTCTGAGAAACAGGATCACACAGATCGACCATGCATGGGTTCGGGATCGAATCGCGTCATTAAGGCCAGCATCTCGTGGGTTGCACACTGGGACTACGAGAGCGACCCCGATTTGAATATTCTTTAGAAATTGAAAGCTACATGCATCGCCGCATATTCTCTATGGTATAGTGGTTCCTAGGACGAACGCATGTACCATCACCCTCATTGTATGCATGATACCTGCATATGCCATGTCCCGCTTCTTGCACGAGCGATACCACTTTCGCTGCCACTTTATGGCGTGCATGGTGGAAATCCTCCTGGCATATATGCCACAATGGTAAAGGTGAATGGAGCAATTACAACCATGATGATTCCATTAAGATCTGCTAACCGTCAATGAAAAGACGCCTTTGATGTGATGAAATGTACAACCTGTTAGTATATATATCGCCTCGGTGTGCAGAGGACTTTGGAGGTTTCATGATTGCCAGCGCGAATAGCATATATAAGAGCGGTCCTTCCGCACTTGTCCTTGGCATCCCGATTCTAACCATACATTAAGAGTGACTTGGCGATATCTGGGTCACCGGATGCTGTTGCGACATGCAGAACTGTTAATCCCATCTCGTCCCTTCGACCAATTGGAGCCCCAAGTTCGATTAGCCTTGCAGCAACCCTATGAAGACCCTTTGAAAAGGCTTGGCGCAGGTATGTGTTGCAATCATTCTTATCCTGGACCTGTTGATGGTCTAATAATTCTAGCGCCCAAAGATCGTTCCCCCTCTCTATGGCTATCAAAAACGATGGGTGTTCAAGGCAATTCGATTCCTTGGAACCAAAGCCATTCTCCAATAGATACTTTACCGGTTTTGGGGGTAAAAACATAAGCGTTAGATAAGGCTTAAATAAGGGTCAAATAAGGGTTTTTAGTAGCATAAGGATTATTGATGTTTTAAGTCTCCAGTAATAAACTCGGGTCAATAAGCATTATCTCTGATAAGGATTATGTCGATTTTTAAGGGTTATTTCGGATTAAGGGTTATTTCGGATTAAGGCTTATTGGACTATAAGGCTTATTGGATTTTAATGACATGTACTTGTTGGTGACACAAAGAAAAAGCGGGGTGGGTTGAACCCAGAGCCTTGCAGGTAGCATATACCTCATGCTACCCACTGAGCCATGGGAGAATTGAAATTCCGGTGCTGGAAGTAATATATGGTCAATATAATGCGAATTTTAAGCCTTATATAATCCTTGTATAAACCTTATCCACCGAAAAGCCTTAAAAAAGGCTTATGTGATGAATAAGTGAGATCAGGTATAAAGGCTTAAGCTATTTGATAATAATTATCTAGATTCAAAGCATATACACAGAATAAGGCCTGTATATGCCTTATTCTGGATAAGCCCTTACGCAAAAAAGACTCTTATCCCAAATTAAGGCTAATACCACCATTTTTCGTCAATAAGGCCTTATTTAACGCTTATCTAGGCGTGAATCGTTACTGGAGGCTTATTCTTTTACCCCCAAGGGGGTAATGTACCGCGTGATCGCCGAGAATCCTAGTCTAGCGGTAGCTTCTAGTAGCGTTTGACCGTTGTGATCAAGCATGTCTTGTCTAGCAGCCTCGACGCCGCAAAGGCTTCGACCAGCTCCATGCTTCCTGACCTGATGGCTGAATGGAACATCAAGGGGTCTTTGGGGAGAGGTAAATCAGCAGACTCACTATATATCACTAGCACTCTTGCCAGAAAGTACTCTTCCCCGTAGATTGCGGCAGTTATCAGCTTGCTCATTATCTCCTCTGGTCCACCATGATTCGCAAACGACAACCCAATGACACACACAATCTCATAATGACGCTGTGTGATGCATTCCCCAACAGGAGAGCGCTGACATGTCCCGCTGATTTTGAGGATAGTGGAGGCATCGGAATACTTGAGAAGAGAGGCAACGGCCGCGGTATGGTGCCTGTCTCGATAAACCTACAACCCGCGCCAATAGGAAATTACCCCTAACCCTGGTTTTTAGCCCAGCCTCGAGCTCAAAATGCGATAGACTAACCCTAACCCTAGCAATAACCTACCAAAATTGTTAAGAGCTAGTAATAACCTACCCTAACGCTTTAATGAATCGTTCAGACAAATAGGGCTTGTAGCCCTCCTCCTCTTGCTCTATACAATCTATTTCCTCAATTTTTTATTACTTGGTTCTTGGTAGACTAGATAGATCTAGGTTTATCGAGACCGGCACCATATGTCCCTCCCGTGGCGCAGCATACCAGATGCTCTAACCCCTATGAAGATTTGTATCTCCTCTGCAGCAGCGAGTAATATCGGCGCCGCAGTTTGATAATCATCTCGTCTTAAGCAAGTTGCAAGGGTGCGTTGCCACGCGGGTCTTCCCTCTCAGTACCGACCCCATGACTGAAAATTAACACTACCATACCTATATCGTCATTGCTTGCATGCCGCAGAACTGATTACTGGCCCCCCATGGGTTACAATGTTTATATCATGATTGTCATATAGATGTTGTAGATCAACTAGCTCTGTGTCGCCACTCCTTTCGTCCCGTATGAAGTCGAACTGCCCCTCGAGCATCCAACGACGCGGCCGTACCCAGCGTATATCATCAATTAGATAGATAGGAAAACTAATAGTCCGTGGGATGAAACGGCAGAAATAACAATACACATTTCGTACAAGCAACCACTAATTCTCTATCATATCTATTTTATTGAGCCCAAGGGAGCTATAACTAATAAATTACAATATATAAATTAAATAAATAACTACAATTTGAAATTCACTCCAGTATTTTTTGTTAACTCAGAGTTACGGAACAACTCGCGGTCGTGAGAGGGCCAATCTCTACTACGGCTGGAAATGCATCATTTGATGCATTACCTGTCAAGGCCTTCGTAAATGCATCATGAGATTCCTTTCCCTATATACATGTATTTACCGGGTATATATTACACTACACTTTATCCTACACCATAGTAACTGCTAGAACTATGCATACAATTAATGAATTAAAAAAGGGAAAAACTGCTATCGCTAGACGTCACCGCCCCCGATCTGCGTAATAGTATACGATCCCACGCGGGGATATTCGAATCCCGCGCCGGCGGTACCCAGCCTATATCATCAATTGCGATTGGTGGAGGCTTGCGAATCTCTGTTATCGGTAAACTATCGAGCTCCTGAATAACATCATTGATCGGTTGGATTAGGTTCCTGGGTGTGTTTGGGATGCAGTCTGTACGGACGTCAGTGATTTATCAGCGCCAAAGATCTTCATAATGATATACCATCCAACGCCATGAGATATATCGCGTCAGACCAAGACAGTAAGTTGATATCGGCCGTTATCCTAAGATAGCAATGTGAGTACTCGAATATACATAAACCAGCGCTTGAGTGTCAATTCTTATACTCACCTATATAAAGCTGCCCATGACACTTCCGCCCCAACCTGGACATTTTCCGCCCCAATCTGGACATTATCTGCCCCAACCTTTGCATTTTCCGCACCAATACTTCCGTCATACCACCAAGGATTTGATAGAGACGCCGCATGGAATGGAAGTTCCAGAACAGATATATTTGATACTTCCGCCAAACTCCTGCCCGACATGACAGACCAACCAGCAGCTTCGGATACAGCATTCAAAGGCTTGGCCAGCGCTCGAGCATAGACACGGGTATTGAGCAGAGTGCTCTCATAGTTGAAGGATGACATGCTATAGATACTTCTGATAGAGCCAACGCTTCTTACCAAGCTTCCGCGTGAGCTTTGTATTGTCAGGAAACTGGAGCCGTAGTTTCCTCTGATGGTTGAGGCACTGATACTTGCACCAGACGCGTTCACAGTGTTTGTATGCTCCCTGGACGGTGTATTCTGCATTGTGGGAGGATTGATATATATCTGATGTAATTGCTGAGCGATCTGTTCGACTAGGGCTTGGAGGGCTTGTACACTCTGATTCGCCTGGGCTTGGCTTTCGCTATGCATTGGCCCAATGAATAATAATGAGTACAATCTCTCTATTTTTCAGCCATGCAGGCCTCTCCTCCGGGCCGGATATGGACCAAATGGAGTCAAAAGTACTTGTGGGACCTAATTACCAGAAGACTCACCATGTCAATATGGTCAACATCAGGTTCAATGAGGATTTATGATGCTGAAGCCTTTGCGTAAGACCCGATAGTATGGATTCCGCCCAGGCCCACTTGAGTCTGGTACGGACATCCATGTAGTCCGAACCAAGGGAATCTATCTCCTTCTCCAGGTCGGCAAGAGTGCACATACAGGCGGCCAGAGTGACGATCAGTTCATCAACATCGATCAGGGATGTCCTTGCGATAGAGTTGATGGATCCGAGTATGATAGGCTGGAGGCTTGACAAGACGATCACAAAGTCATGCACCTCGCTATGAACAGTTTGCGCGAGTGCTGGAGCGCCCATCGTTGTGGAAACGAATTTACCGACGGTGGTAGTGATCTGGGTACCCGCCATGACCAGTCCGACTATGGAGGCTGCAACTGAGAGTGGATCCGCCATGTTGTTTGAGATTAGTCGAGAGGTTCGGAGAGTTGAGAAGGCCGGCTTGGGGATATAGCTAGGTGTGAGGATGAATCTCAGAGTTTGTAATCGTGGTGGTGCCTAGTTATCTCATTGTGTAACATGAGGTGTCGTAAAATCTATGCGCTGCAACAGGGATATTCTACACCAAAACTTGCATATTGACGTCCAAAGACTGCCTCTGGTTGGCCTATACCCCTGTTGTCTCGCAACGAATATTCTCAGCTTTTGCGGTACTCTACTTCAATCGTTTACCTGCGGGGGTCGTGTGGGGTGGGGAGTGGCTAGCTGATGGTGCAATTACCCAAAGGTGGCCGTGGTGTATGCACATGTATGTACCCAGGGTGTGGGAAGGCGACGGAAATTTATGCTTGGTGGGAGTGCTACCGCATCACCGGGATTCATTAAAGGGATCAGATACGTACTGGCCAGAGGTGGCGGGTGGAGGGGTTGATAATCGACGTATATACGTCGCTCATTGCGAGTAGGTATTTTTGTTCCTATGTACCGCACACATACACCCTGACATCAAATACAGAAGAGAGGTCGGATCGAATAGGTAGGCCAATGGTCATGTTGAAGGTTTATCCTTGACATTATATTATCTATGCTCTTCTCACCCCCCGTGAGGAGCCTATACATGCAGTGCTTCACAAAGCAAGATATATATATCTGATCACCACTATCAGATCTTACTAGTCGTATCCGGTGGTACCATCCTCGGCCGTTTTCGACACAAAAAATATGTTACTCCTCGGCTTTCCTCTTGCACTCTGCTAGCATATTTTTTATTTGCTCCAGGTCCGGGTGATTAATCCCGAGGGAGCTCTCCTTCCATGCCAATACTCTTTCAAATTTCCGCATTGCCTCATCGTACTGACCATCGTTGTAGAACGTAACTGCCATATTATTGACGGTATTGATTGTGGAAAAGTGATCTTTTCCCAAGACTTTCTCCCTCCCTGCTAGTGTTTTCTCATGCCATAAAAGAGCATCCGCATATCTTCCTTGTGTGAAGTAAAGCGCTGCAACGTTATTATACGACTGAAATGTGAGAGGGTGGTCTTCCCCGAGAGACTTCTCCCTCCCCTCCATTGCCCTTTGATGCCACTTCAAAGACTCTTCGTACTCCCCGACACTATGGAATAGGCTGGCAATATTATTTACGGAGGTGAGCGTATCAGGGTGATTGGCCCCGAGGACCTTCTCCCTTCCGGCAAGAGCCTGCTGATACCATTCCAGCGCATCTCGACGGTTTCCCTGCTTCTTCAATACCAATCCGATGTTGTTCATGGTGGTGAGGGTATGCTGATGCTCCATGCCCAAGACCTTCTTGCGCCCGGCCAATGACTTGTGATTCCACTCCAATGCTTCAGTGTACTTTCCCTGTCGATCGAGCACCGACGCTATACCATGCATCGTATTAAGCGTCTTTGGGTGCTCGTCCCCCAGCTCTCGCTTCTGTCCTTCAAGTACCCGGAGATACATTTCCATGGCCTCCCCATGCATTCTCTGGTCATCAAGAAGAGCCGCCATGTTACCCAGGGTGCCGAGTGTCGATTGATGCTCCTTCCCAAGCACTCGCTCCTTTTCCTCGAGTGCTTTGCGGTACCACTTTAAAGCCTCCACGCTATTTCCAAGTTGCTTCAAGTTGTATGCTATGTCATGCAAGCTCTCAAGGGTATCAGAGTGGTCCATGCCCAGTACCCTTTCCCGCCCAGCCAATACACGTTGATTCAAGCTTAGTGCCTCCTTATATCTTCCCCGGCTCGAAAGCACTTGTGCCATGTAGTGCATGGTGAATAACGTATCATTCGCCTCCGCCCCCCGAGTTCTCTCCATCCCAGGAAGAAGCCAATCGAATAGCGCATGGGCTCTATCCAGATCATGATTTTCAGAAAGCGCATGCGCAAGAGAAAACAAGTTTCCCAGTAAAACTGTGTCTGGCTCGAAGCCTTCGAAGTAATTGCTGTGGCAAGTGTGATCTACACATGCGTGGATGTGGGGCATCAACTGTCTCTCCAAGATCCAGTTTTCAGGCTTGCGATCCTGTGGGGCACAACGTATTGCTCCAGCGGTCAAGGCAATCGCCTGTGCGGACAGCTTTTTGTGGTTTGTTCCCGGCCTCTCGCGCGACCAACGGTGGACCAGGGGATGTATCCAGAGTGCGTTGATATCTGTCCTCCGCTTACCCAATGATAACGACAAGATTTCGCCGATAACGACATTGACGGAACCTGTTTTCCCCCACTCGTCAGCTAGGCACCCATCCAAATTTGAGGAAACTAAAAATAAAGACGTTAAAACACTAACCAATGCCAAACTCCACAAGTTTCTCCTCTGGTAATAGCACATCCAGCAAGATTTCATCATGGTTAAAGAAACCGCACAAGAGGAGAAGCTCCTGTGCCTCTTTACTAAGCCCCTTGAAGGAAATCTCCCAGGTCGTAAACATGGTCTTATCGTACTGCCAGACACTCTTCGGAGGCTTTTTACTCATGATGTTCGGGAACTCGTCATCGAATCGAGTGAGGAAGTCCTCGAAGCTTATGCCGCTTGTGAAGATGAAGGATCCTGCTTGGTCAAGAGCGAGCGGCAGACATGACAGCTTGTCAACTACAACGCCAGCAAGGTGTCGTTCTAAGGCGCTAGGTCAGCTCGCTGGACGAGACGCAATCAAGGGTTAAGAACATATATATCTACCAACCCTGTTCAAACTCAGCTTTATTCCGCTGCGCACACCTTAGAATGAGCTCGATGCCATCCTGACTGTCAACTGCTTTGATCTCGATCCCGGTTCCAAGCCTACCTGTCGAGCTTTCCCTTCCGGTAATAATAAGCTTCCCATTATTTCCATTCGGAAGGAACTCCTGCACGTTGACGTTCTCTAGATCATCGTAATTGTCGACTATCAGTAGCCAATTCTGGTTCTCCTCCGCCCCCAACCACGATTTAACAGCCTCAATCGCCACGGCAGTGTCAATGATCTTGCCCGTTGTATCATCAATAGTGTCCGGTCGCACCCCTACGAGCGTTGATATACTGGCATGGTTTGTTCCCCAGTATCGAGCATGGAACTGTAGTATTTTTTGGCCAATGCGAACAAGTCCCTCCATCAGGCTTGCAACAGACTCGGCATTCACAAACCAGATGGAGGTATAGCACTTGCGATAGAGATGGGCATATTGAACGGCGATCTGTGTCTTTCCCACTCCTCCGATCCCATAAAGGGCGACAGCATTTCGGTGGGCACCGTCCAGTACGGGACACTGTAGGATCTCGTGGATACTCTTTAACACGTCCTCCCGACCCGTAAAGTTCCGATTGGTCGGGAAAGGTATTTCTGGAGTGATGTTATATAAGACTTGTGGAAGGCCGGTAGCTATTTAAAAAAACATGAGATGTATATTCGTAAGGGACTAATAATTAATTCATACAGCGACTATAAAATGGCTACTAACCCCTTTTTACAATGTCACTATTTCTCCAATTATCTTCCACCTTCACTAACGCCTCCTTCAGCATCACCTTCAGCTGCCTGCAAATCTTCTGAAAGTCTTCGTCATCCTCAGCCGCATATTTCACCATATTAACGTGATTCTTTTGGATCCTGATGTTGCTCGCGTCAAGTGCTCCTGGGATACACGCCGAATGTTTCGGCACAATCTACCACGCTGTTAGACCACCGAAACCTGTCGACGGTAGTATCGGCAACCCCGGAAGAAGCACTTACAAGTAGTTCGTTTCCCCCAACGGTTGGTGTCGCATATGCCTCATAAAAGAACTTCGTATTAAATTCACCGGAGATGGGTAGATAGCGCATCTGCGTTTGATCCAGCCATTCCGAATTGGTTTGGAGATGCTTGAGCAGCTGCGAGTTCGTGTTTAACCAGATGGATGCGATATTCACCGCCAATTCACCGAGCCTGGCACCTTGGCCACCGCTATGAGGTGTGCCCATGAAGAGGATCCCGTAGGTTGAGATCTTGAAGCTCATCTGATCCTCTCGATGATGCTGGTTATAGCCACTTGACAGACTCAAGGCCTTTAACCTACCCGTTAACCGTCCGTTTTATGCATCTCAATTGAACATAGGACTATATTGAGGCTTACACTCTTTAACACAAGGCCGCCCAAGCTGTGCGCCACAAAGATTATTGGACGGCGCGTAGTCTATACCGGACATGTCTGTTAGCATCTTATTCTCGTATAGCGAAGCTGGATATTTGACAAACCTCTGTATCCTGTCTTCTTTCAGTGACATCTTGCACAAACTGCTCTGCATGCCCGTGGAGAAACTCCTGTGTCAGGGTCCCAGAACTGTGGGTCTTCGCGTCGTAACCGTATGTCATGACCCGGACCTTTGGAAACTGTTGAGGCAGAAGAGATGAGAGCCAATTGACATTGTTATCGGCAGTAAATGTTCTCTCACGGTGTCCATTTAGGCCATGGATCGCGATGATGCTGAGGCACAAGGTCATAAGTAAGGCTACCTCATCCCAATATCAGGTTGGGCTTAATTACTCTACTACAGCGTCTTTAGGATCATATAATATTTTTAAGCCTACTCCTGGTCCGGTATCGACGCTAGGCATCTGTTAGACAAAGAACAGATTCCTCTCTGATTTGAATTAGAAGACTTACACCGGCTGCCTGACTTGAAGGTTATTTCTAGGCGGTTGGGGGAGCTTGCTAAGTTCCTGGTCCAACTCTGTCTGTGGTCCGAGGGTGTTATTGTGGATTTCTTGCAGTCCATTCTGTTCATGGTCCGGCTAAACCGGGTCACAGCAGTGAAGTTAATACACCGTAGCTACAAGGTAGAATTCGAATGAGTAACGCGGGAGGACACGTACAAGTCTCTGCTTTTTCTTCGGCCAGGGGACGCGACAACAGCGGAAACCACAAAAAGGCATATTTCTGACCTAAATAAGATCCTGATGATGGAGTTGATAAGAGAAGAATGATAGAAAGGAGAACCAGGCAGAGTAGAAGCACAAGCAATATTCACGGGTGCCAGCGCTTTATATGTACATATATAGATACTCTACTATTCATACCAATGAACAATGGCAAGCTTAGCTAATGGAGTTGTGACAAATTGATAGGAGGCTTGTGAGACATTCGATGCGGGCCGCCTGACGAGTCACATGCAGGTAAAGCCGGCCATCTCCAAACTCAACCAACCCAGCGTCGTAAAGCCATTTTGCTTTTAAATTTGTGGAGATCGGCTCAATTGCCACGCTGAATATTCAATCCGACTGCAGCCGACCCTGCCGCACTCAAGAGACTAGAGTACGTAGGTAGATCCGATTACTATGCGTAAATTTGACTCTGGTGATCGAACTGTTGCCGCTTGGCAACAAATTCTTCTCCTGCTGTTCCTCCCTAGCCATAAAAAGAACAGCTGGGCGCGTGGCGAAGAAGAGCCAGAAGATCGCTGTGGCGGAGTCTGGTGTCAGAGTGGTTACACAGGGAGAGAGAGCTGAAAGCAGTCGGTGAAGGATTCCGTATTAAATATCTAGACTTTTCCCAACATGTTACAGCAGCGCGGGCTGTACATATATTTATATGGAACGGATGACGTACTAGACAATGCAGGCTGTCGAAAACTGGAAATTCCAAGGTTCTAAAATAGACCTCTGGAATGTCATCAACATTTTTCTTTAGCCAATACTTTAACGCCCGATTTGGTAAAAAAAAATAAACGTTATATAAGGCTCAGGTAACACTTATTTAACCGTTTTGGCAGCGTATTTCTTATCCCGTTTTTACCTCTCCAATAATAAACTTCAATCAATAAGCATTATCTCAAATAAGAATTATTTCGGATTTTAAGGCTTTTTTGGATTTTAAGAGTTATTGAGGATTATAAAGATTATAAGGATTGTTAAGAATTATAAGAATTATAAGGCTTATGTTGATTTTTAAGGATTATTTTCAAATAAATACAAAAAGAAAAAGGCGGGAAGTTGAACTCAAGGGTTTGCAGGTAGCATCTACATCATGCTGCCTATTGAGCCTTAGGAAAACTGAAATTCTGGTGCTGGAAGTAATATATACTGGAACAGGGTTCCCATCAGTACAAATCCGACTCCCCAGTCTTTCCTTTTCTTTATTCTTTTCAGGAATATACTAGCTCACTTTGGGAGTTTAGTATTCACTTCAGGAGTTTCATATTAATTTCGGGAATTCTTCTTCCGATTTGGGAAATTCTTTATTCTTTGCATTTTTCTTTGTTCATTTTTCCTTCCCACATATATTCTCTTTCATGCAAGTTTTATGAATTTTATTTTTCAGGGAATTTCACCAAAGGCTACAAATATTTCCCTTTCTAGAACTCGGGATACTCTTCTAAGAGAGGGGTTTATAAACTATAAATAAAGAGTCAGAAAAAAAAATATATTATAAGAATCCAGAATTCATCAGCAAACCTGCAGCCTTTACCAGACGCCCGAGGTGCTCAGGGCGTTCAGGGCGCTCGGTGTAACGGAGCCATTTCAACTGTCTGGTGTATGAGTACACACAGGGCCCGGTTACATGCTGAGAGTTATTGTTAGAAGCCAGTTGCACGGTGATATGCAAGTACCGGCAGTGTGGTTAGCTACCAGCTGTTAGAGTAACTACATTCCGGGCGCTAGGAAGGGGATCTATTCATGGGAGCAATGACTGACGAGTCTATGCCTCGCCAGTGACTAGAAGACCGGCCAGAGTGAAGCTCTGATTGTCCGGTGATCCTCTGTATCCTCTGAGCATTGTATGTCCGCCGAAGGGCAGGGACTATGCTAGGGAAGTCTACAATAAGCGAAAAGCTCTACAGCAATGACTAAGCTTACACCTGAGCGGTAGCTCATTCATGCAGGTCCTCGGTTGTGTGGCAACCAAGGCTGCAGGTGTTACAAAGGCTTTGACTAAGGGTCGTTGCCTTGGGTATCGGAAACACCTGCTGACGCTTAGAGAAAAGCGGGGTAGCGGTGGTATTGTTTCCGGTACTGAGGGAAGGCCCACCGGAACTTAGTAAGGAGTTAGGAGCAGAGAATAGAGGCCTTCGGAGTATAAGTACTCAGGTTCATTCTCGCCCTTCAGTCCTGTTCTCTCCAGTCTTCATCAGAAAGAAAAACCAAGTTCTTATCGGTAGCAGAGCCCTTAAAGATTATTGAGTTCTAGCGATAGTATCTTTGAATAATCTGCAACCTGATTGTCTATCTTGCACGGCCGTCTCTATTCTATCCAATTCTATTTCTCTTTAGAAAGGACCCCCGTTACACTCGGTAGGTAAACTACCTCTCCAGAGATACGGCAAGTGCTCCTGGCATAGTGTGGCATGCATCTTTCCGCCCCGGTGCATCCTAGTTGGCCCCAGCCTGCACTAGCCCTCCGACCCCGCCTGAACACTGAGCGCGAGCGTCCGGCGCTACCCCGACGCTAGTCCCCTCGCTTGAGAGTGTCAGTTTGATACTCGTATCTCCTGACTGCCCCTGAACACACTATGACTGCTCCTGAAGGATTCTTGACTGCTCCTGTAGCACTCCTGACTGCTATGGTATCACTCCCGTAGTTCCTGGAGTACTGCGAGTGCTCCAGTGGCACCTGGAATCGGGTCTTTGAACCTGGTGCACCCCCGATGCCCTGTTCTCTCCAGGTATACCCTTACAATCTGTACTGTTCACAGAGCACTCAAGACTGTTTACAGAGCACTCAAGACTGTGATCCCCTGTCTATTACTGAATACTAACGACAATACCTCCTTGAACTCCCTTACTGGATATAATACAAAATATGAATCGGAACAAATCTCCAGCTATCCCCGACGTACTCGGGAGTGTTCTCCCCACGCATTTACAAGTATTCTCCCTAAGCACTCGCGAGTGTTCTAGACATCTTCCTCCCCGCTCCCTTCGCAATCTCCCGCTACTGGTAGTTCTTGCTCCTCTTCTTCCTCCTCTCCCTTCTCTTCACTGTCAATGCCGCGAAGTTGGGCATGAATCACCTCGTTCTGGCCATTGTCAGAACTTGAAGGACCTCCTGGAGCACCCCTGAATGCTCTCCGAGCATCTCGGAATGTGGTAAGATCCGCAGCCAAAGCTTTATCGTCCTCGCTAAACCCATCGTCCGGTATCACCTCAATCGTTACACCCTTCTTTTCTCGTATCTATCAAGTTAAGTATTTAGAATAGAACACCCATTGCCGCCATAGTAGCATACGTTTTCTCGAAGGTTATCCTTGATTACCTCCAATGTTGCCTCCTGATTCTGTCTACTCCTCCCTTTCCATATGTCACTCATACTGTTGAACTTTTCCACTCGAGGAGGGATGTCAGCTCGGCAACCCAGTATAGCTCTGAGAGCATCCATCACTGCTCCTAAAGCACTCGGGAGTCCGCAGAATTCTGAGAGCATCCGTCACTGCTCCCAAAGCACCCGTCATACCAGTGAACGCATTGGGCAATACTTACTAACAACGCTCTCATTCTGCGACTGAAAATGATCAGGCTTAACATAAGTCCCTGTCGACTACGCCCGAATACTGTGCCAGATCGCTGTCACTATCAAGCAAATCAATGTAGGAGTTATCCGCTGTAAGAATTTGGGGTCCCTAACCTCTCGCATCCTGATGCTATCAAAGTATTAAAAATACAATATATCGATGATATCCGGGGCAAGGAAGTGCAGTCGGTAGGTCTAGTATCTGTTAACGGCTTTCACAAGTGCTCTCTGAGCATTTCTGAGTGCTCTGTGGGCATTCCAAGTACTCACTGGGCATTGATCATACCTCGCAATGCTGCTGGGGGCTCAAAAAACGATCATTCTTCAAAAGATATTCGACTTGAGCCGCCCTTGCCTCAAGCCCCACAAGATTTCCAAGCCCGTATATCATAGAGTCCACCAGGCACCTTTTCACCTTGTGCATCAAGTGGGAACGGACACGGGAGTGGAGACTTCTGACCTACCATTCTCAATTATGCTTCCAGAGCACTCACAATTGTTTCAGGGGAAATCACCTGCACTGACAGTACATTTTCACTCCTAGAGTCAGGGATTACAGACCTCTGAGTCAATTGGCTCGAAGGAATGTCGCCAGTATTCTCAAAGACGTCGTGACTCCTCTCTGGAATACGAATCTCATTTTCCACTGTCAGAGCATTCTCGTTATCCCTGGATAAGGGAAGATAGTCGATTTCGTAGACTCCTTGCGATCAAATTTAGCTGTGAGGTTGGGCTGAAGGAATTTGAGGGCTGGAAGGAATCCAAGGACTGCTCACAGAGCTCTCGCCAATTCTGTCAATAGGAGGTGAAGAACGATATGGCCGGTAAGTAGGTGAGGACTCCCCCCATATCGAGAGCTCATTGAGTAAAGATTGATATGGCGCATCGAAGAGCTGTAATCATGAGAATAAACAGGTTCAGAAGGCCTAGACTGTGTGGGTATTAGCGGTGCTCTCTGGAATGCCGGGAGTGGTCTCTGAGATGCATTCTGGCTGGGTGCTGAAGTGGATGCTCTCTGAGATGCCGGCAGTGCTCTCTGGGATGCCGGGAGTGCTCTCTGAGATGCATTTTCACTGGGTTGCAAAATGGGTGCTGCTCTACCCTGACCTTGTTTCCGGATTACCTTTGTGCCAGGTCGAGCTCCCCTCTGAACAGTTAGCCTCCGAGTCTATTGAATAAAACCAATGAAATGAGCAGAAGAGAGTCAAACCTGTATCACGTCCACTGACACGTCGGAGGAAGCAATTGCCTCCGCTACTGTAACAGTTGCTTTCCTCCGAGCATTGACCAGTGCTTTGGCAGTAGTGGGTGGAACTGTGCGAGGTCTCTTTCCGACAGTCTGAAACCTCTGGCTGGAGGCCTGAGGTTAATCCTCCGGTTTATCTATATTCTCCTCAGAACTCTCGGGCTCGTTCTCTGAAGAATCATCATACTCTGAGTAGCTGGTATCAACTATTTCCTCCACCTCTGGTGCCTCTCTTGCTTGAGCCTGCTCCTGCACTTCAACAAGATCAGTATGATCGCCGGGGAGATGAAATTTTACACTTCTAGCACTGCTTCTTCCAGTGAGAGTTTCGGAAAAACGGAGAAAGCCTTTACGAGCTATTTGGGCGGCGGTGGTCGATTGACTACTCTGAGTGTGGCTGGCAGTAGAGTCAATGGTAGGTAAGTTATTTCAGACTCCTTAGTCAGTAAGTTTCATGTTCTTCAGGTCGTCTTGGGAGTCGTTGGCGCTTTGGGGCAAGAGGTACTGAACCGGAGGAGCTGTAACGGGGACTATGGGCGTAGGAACTATGAAGCCAAGGAATACAACCGAGGCGAAGACGTAGACGTAGAAGGTTCGTGGACTATGGACTATAGACTATGGGGCCGAAGGGTACACCTAAGGCAAGAACGAGGACTGTGGACTATGGATGGTTATACCTGGTCTAGGATACCGGGTAAACCCTATGACGTAGCGCGAACCAAATAGTATTCGTAACTGTGAAGTACAGAAGAAGAAGAAGAAACTTATATTGCTTTGAAGTACAAGACTTATCGCACGCCGACCCAACCGCCTCAAACACGAACCGAACCGAACAAAAGAAAAAAAAAAAAAACAACAAACGCAAACGCAAACAAACAAGAACAAAAACAAGAACAAAACAAGCGCGAACAATAACAGGGAAAATCCAGAACAACACTTCGACCAGAAAACCCAACGACAAGGAGAAATAACATATCTCAGCGGACTCGAGCGCTGGATCCATCAAATCAAAAAAATAAAAACAATTTTAAAGAGTAAAAGGAAACTCCCCTTCCTAATCCCATTCCCGGTCATTTTCTTCCATCCCCTCTTCCAGGTCCGCCTCCGCCTCCGCCGACTCGTACCATTTCGAGAGTTGAGATTGTTTCGCAAATTGTAGGATGGGGTCCGTTCTCAGGTTTGTAAACATTCAGTTTTCCCAGGTCATCGCTCCGGGGATCTTCTCTATCAGGGGGGCGCGGATTCGAGCCCATGCTGGGCATTCCATAAGTATATGTTTCGCTGAGTTTTCCATCCCACACTGGCATGGTTCGGAGTCTGTGTATACTGCGTGTTTGTCGACTCGGGTGGTTTGGCACCGGATCCGAAATACTTTCTTTGCTTCCGTAAGGGTGAGTTTCGCTATCTTGGGAGGGGGGCGGAATTCCCCCCGATGATGGTAGTTCGGTATTGATTGTGTGTTCCATTCTTCCAACAGGTGGTCGCGTAGTAGTTTGTTTTGGTTCCACTTATCTCTCGCATTTCCGGGGGTCTGGTATGGGAGTAGTAGGGAGGCGATTGTGTGTAAGCCTGTTCCTTTGATATTTGCTTCTCTGTATGGGAGGAGCTCGATCAGAGATTCGTTGTTGGGGTGGGTTGCGTCGGTGCAGAGTATTCTAGTTCCGTACTTTCTTGAGCGATATGTCAGGAGATGTTCTAAGGGGGGTAGGCCTGCTTCTCGGAGGAGTTTAGTTCTTTTGGTCCATCGTGGTAGGCCGGTGATAACCCGGGCCGCTTCATTATATAGTGGTTCGAGGGATCTTATAATGTGGTCTGCGCCAGTCCACCAAGCCTCGGATCCGTAGAGTAGACTTGGGAGGAAGCCTTGTGTTATAATGTGATGGACTGTTTTAACCGTTATTCCTGGCAGGCGGGCGGTGTATCGAATCTGGTGGAGGGCTTTAAGGCCTTTTGCGATCGCTGCTTCAATGTGGGGCCGGAAGGAGAGGGTCGGATCTATCCAGACTCCTACATATTTCAACCTCTCCTTGGGGTGTATGTTGGTATTGTTAATTTTGACCGAAAGTCGTAGTTGTTGTGTGGATGATGTAGTGGGCCGGAAGAAGATCAGGTCGGATTTATCCGGGTCGTACTTGATTTGGAGTGGCTCGGCTTTTATTAGTCTCTCTCTCATTCGTTCCTCCATTCTCTTGATTGTGAAGCCTGGTGTTTTGGATATTTGCACCAGTGCATCGTCGTCGATATATGTGGTGTCCATCTCTTTCGGGCTACTTGTTGGGTCCAGGATTACTCCAGCATAGATCATGAATAGTACCGGGGACATGGGGCTATCTTGCGGCACTCCAGAATCATAAGGTTGTGGTTCCTCTAGCTCATGGTTAAATTGAAACTGTAGTTTTCTGCCAGTATTGAATTCCTTGCACCATTCTGTTAAGTAGGTAGGGAATTTTTGTTGGTACATGATTTCCGCGAGGAGTAGGTGGTCGACGCAGTTAAATGCTCCTTGGATGTCGTTGGTTAGGATCGCTGGTCTGTCTCGCCGAGCGACTCCGGTACTGTTTTTCAGTAGTAGGTTTTGTTGTATTGGTGTCAAGGTTCTCAGGAGGGCGTCGATTGCCGAGATGGTTGGTCTTCCTCCAAATTGATTCGCTGAGAGTGTGCCTAAAATTTCTCCAGCGGTGCAGAGTCTTTGCGCCACTATCTTCTCCAGGATTTTGCTGAAACATTGTAGAAGGGAGATGGGCCGGTAGGCTTTCGCTTCATGGTAGTTTGCTTTACCGGGTTTCGGGATCGGGATACACTTAGCTAATTTCCATTCCGCTGGGTGTACACCATGCCGGAGCATGGCGGAGAACATGTCTTGGATTAGAGTTGTGTTTGCTCTGACTATTGCTTTAATAAAGGTATAAGGGATGCCATCCGGGCCGGTCGCCGAGTGCGCTGGACAGGAGTCGATTGCTTTATTAAGTTCTTCGGGGGTGACTATGTCGAAGGTGTTGCTGAGGTCAAAAGAAAGGGGTCTAATGTTTAGGGGGGGATGGTCGGGGGACGTCCGTTTCGAGGGGAAAAGTTGGGCTCTTAAAGCTTGACACTTCCCCGCAAACGTTTCTTCACCTTGTATGGTTGGTATGATTGTGTCTCTTCTCCTTCCTGCGTTTAGGATTCTCCAGACTTCAGTACCTTTCGCCTCGTTCATCGTCTTTTCCCGCTGGTCCGCTTTTGCTTTCCGGATCATGACTGTCCATTCTCTGCAAGCTTTCCGGTGTTCCTCCACGTGATTGGGTTTCCTTGTGTTCCTCGCCTTCCTTTCTGCTGCGTTTACCCTTGCCTTCATTTGTTTCATTTCATCTGACCACCAGGAGTTGGCTCTTACCCCCTCCTTCGAGAGTGGTGTTACTATGCTGACTGTTGCCCTGACCAGTTCTAGGAAGAAATCGACAGTTTGTTCCGTGTGTTCCTTGGTTTCCCATGCCTCTGCAGGGATGGAAATGTTTGACATGTGGTTTTCCAATAGCTTCCAGTCTGTTTGTCGCCACATTCGTCTTGGTACAAAAGGTGGTTTCTCCAGGTGTAAGTGAACGGAGGTTCTCCCATGGTCTGAGCCCGCTCCGTAGGGTTCAGTGCTCCATCGTAGGTTGTGGTCGAGTATTGGGCCTTTTACAAATGTAAGGTCGATGGTTGTGGGCCTTTTCCCTCTGTCTCTGGGGAAATGCGTAAAGACGCCTGGTTCGTTCAGGAGGGACAGTTTCTGTCGGGTTATCCATCGTTTTAGTCGTGCACCATTGACGCTGTCTGCTCGAATATTGTTTCTGTATTCATGTGAATTTACTCCGTACCACATTTGATGGTGGCAGTTGAAGTCTCCCATTACTAGACAATTATCAAGGGTTTGGATTGTACTTGCTATTTGAGCGAAGGGGCCACTTCGGCCTGGGGAGTATATGTTCAGGATTTGGGTTTTCTTGTTCTGGATTTCTACCGTAATCGATACTATGAAATTATCGTGTGTGTAGTGGTGTTTTGGTTTGAGGTTGGCATGTTTGCGGACGTATGTTGCGCATTTTGTATTGGTATTGCTGGCTGTAAAAATGTAAAAGAGATTTGATTCTGGTGGGTATCCCTCTGCTGAGGTCCATGGTTCTTGTAGTAATAGGAAATAAATACTAGAGTCTGTTTCCGCTTCTTCTACCGCCGCCTTGGTAATAAGTTCGCTCCGTGCACAATTGAGTTGGTGTGCGAGCGCGGTGGTTCGAGGCCTAAGCATTATTTGTCATGGGTTGGTCATCTTCGGGAACGGGTGTGGCTCCGACTGGGGCGGTGGCTGGTACTTGAACTATCGACTCTTGGACGGGTGCGGCCGGTGGGTCTTGAGCGGGTGGGGCGTTTTCTTTTCCTTTGTTAAGGAATCGGCGTTTGACTCTTTCGGGGCATGCTGGGTCGAAGGCCTTATGGATTCCTTTGCAGTTCAGACATCTGATTGGGGTGTGGGTGCATCTATATCCTCCCTGGCATTGATTGCATGGGTGGAAACTGGTGAGGTGATTTCCGGCACAATGACCGCATCTCCCGTTGTTTTTGCATTTCTCCTGGCGGTGACCGTATTCGAGGCACTTCGCCCATTGGGTGTCTGGGAAGGTTGGGAGGAAGGCCTCGATGTGGCAGCTTCGGTTAAAGAGGGATAGGAACTTAACTCCTAGTGTTTCCATTGTAACTTGTCCTGGGAGTGCGATGACCATTGATGAGTGGGTTTTCTCCATTCGAGTCTCTGCTCTGGAGATCCAGCGGGGAACCTGGGCAAGTTGGAAGTTCTCTCCATAGTTGCTTCTAATTTCGGATGCTACCAGTTGTCCTGCCTCGACGCCTTCTCCGACCGTTGTGGGGATTCCGTGAATAAGGAACTTTGACCATTTGGAGTTTGCCCGGATGATGGCGACTGGTACTTGTAGAGTGAGGAGAGCCTCCTCAATTTCTTTGGCGTATTCCATTGCCTTTGTTGCTGGGGTGACGAACTTTGTTTCCAGGATAAAGTTATCCTTGGGTGTTCTCCTTGCTGAAATGAAGTGGCAGGATTCGTCCTGAATTCTTGCATTGACTAGGGTCCTGATCTCGGAGGGGTTGACGTCGGATGGGGCAGTGGTTTCAACAATGATTTCTCTGTTGATTTTGGTATATTCTGGCTTGAAGAGGGGGTCCGCTTTTGGCTTTGCGGATTTCTTTCTTCTCTCAACAACCTGGAAGTTTCCTTGAGCGGGACCGGGTGCCGAGGCCACGGCGGCCCAGGTGCCTGCTTTCCATCCACGGGGTGGGGCTTGTTGGGGGGGTGCGGGTGGGGGGGCCTGAGGGGCTGCCTGAGGCGCTGCTTGGGGAATTATTTGAGGGGCCGCTGGAGGGGGCATTCTCTGTCCCTGCGGTTGTTGTTTTCGCTGTTATTGCTGTTGTTGCTGTTGGTTTTGTTGTGGTTGTTGCGGTTGCTGCGGTTGTGGTTGTTTATTGAGGAGAAGATGGATCGCCGAGTGCATACTGGTGATCATAGTTGTCTGCGCCTCGATTTGGTGCCTCAGTGTATCCACTGTTCTCCGGAGTGTGGTCGTTTGCTCTTCGAGGATTTCAATCCTGTCGGTGGGTGGGCAGATTTGGCTGGTGGCATGTCTAATGGCCCAGGTAATGTAGTTCAGGTCCGTCTGGGTGTGAGTATCCTGGGGGACAATGCTCGGGTATAGGTAGTCGATTCTCGGTTGGTATGGGTCGTTGTAGTCGGATTCTGTTGCAAAGGTCGAGGAGAATTCCTGTTCCTGAGCTCCGGATGGGGTTGGGTCGGGAACCTGGGTGTTCCTGATCTGCGAGGGGGCTGTCCCTTGCTGTGAAGACTGGGTAAAAAAGGACTGGAGCGAAGCTTGCTGCGACATAATTGAGTGTCCAGTTCTTCTGGCGGCGTAGAGTGAAGTTTCGGATAGGTTTCTTTTCCTTCCCTTCGGGAGGTCAAGGCTGGAGAATTCTTCGCTAGAAGCCAGTTTTCGTAGTGTTTCTTTCGCTTGGAACAACAAAACGCGACCGTACGATCGGGGACGAAATGGCTCAACCTGGTATGGTATACCAGGGTAAACCGAGGGGAATAGAATAAAGTGTTTTTAAAGCGAGGTTTGTTATCAGGGAGTTCTTTGCGAGCTGGAGGCGAGCGAGTAGAATACAGAGGTTGCGTAAAGAGGAAAGGAAAAGAAAGAGAAACAAGAAATCACGAGACAACGCCCCCCTTATATATCCATACCCTATCCCAATGCTGACTCATACCCTCGCATAACAGAAACAGAAAGAACATAATAGAAACCCGCTTCGCTAAACCCAACCACACTACATAATCCTTCTCCCTTATACCCAGACAACTCACATAGCCAACCCACCTAGCTGCCGTTACAGACCACTCCCCCCTCTAAAGCCTACCTCCTGGTAGGCTTAGGCTTCCGTGGATAATATTCATGGAATCGTTTGACGATATCGGGCGAGTATTCGACATCCGACAATGGCTGCCACGAAGCTTCATCATAACCAATATACTTTACCAAGTATTCAAATCTTCCCCGACGATCCCTGGAATCCAAAATATCCTCAACTTCCCACTCCTCCTGTCCTTCAACTTCAACCGGTGGTGGTGGTAACTGTTGTTGTCCTGGTAAAGGATCGTTTGCTGCAGACGACAATAAAGAGACATGGAATACGGGATGAACTTTCATAGAACGAGGAAGTGCTAGTTCGTAGGCATAGGGACTAACAACTCGTTTAATAGCATAAGGTCCGAGACATTTCCAATCAAGTTTCTTTGAGGGTCGCTTAGTAAGGACATGACGTGTTGATAGGAAAACCTTATCTCCCACACGATAGTAAGGAGCGGGAGTCCGACTGGTATTGGCAGACTCTTCTTGAATCCTTTGTGCTCGGAACAACTCATCTCGTAGAAAATCTAATACCTCCTTCATCTCCCGTGCGATACCATTAGCCTGATCCTCTGCTGTCGTCCTACCATGTTCTGAAGGAGCGAACGTCATTCTTGGATTCCGTCCTGAATTGGCAAAGAAAGGAGATATCTTTGTTGTTTCTGAAGCGTGATTATTGGTCGCAAATTCAGCCATTGGTAACCATCGAGCCCAGTCATCTTGTTGATAGGAAACATAACTTCGAAGATATTGTTCCATTACAGCATTGATCCTTTCCGTCTGTCCATCCGTTTGGGGGTGAAACGCGGTGGAGAACTTTGGCGATATTTCTAGGCGATCGCAAAGGGACCTCCAAAACTCCGCAACAAATTGTGTTCCTCGATCAGATACCATAGTTTCAGGTAGTCCATGTAATTTCCAAACATTTTCAATGTATAGCCTCGCTACTTCCTTTGAATCCGCCTCTTTAGTTGTCGGTATAAGGTGTCGCATTTTAGTCAACCTATCTACCACAACCAGGATTGCATTGTACCCATTGCTTTCAGGAAGATCTGTAACAAAATCCATTGACACATCCGTCCACGGTCCATCAGGTATTGGCATGGGGCGGAGTACTCCAAAGGGTGCATTGCGTGGTGCCTTACTACGGGCACACACATTGCAATTCCTAACGTACTGGTCGACATATTTTCGCATCTGTGGCCAGTAGTACTCTCGATTCAGGAGTTCCAAAGTCTTCGCTCTGCCTGGATGGCCTGCCGATGGGTTGTCATGATGTTCCTTTAGGAGTCTTAGCCGAAGATCGTTGTCATCCGGTACATAGAGTGCGCCACGATAAAGTAGCCGACCGTTATTGTCTTCCGTACATTCGGCAAGCGAGATCTTATTCGAGTGACGGACGCCGTTCCGAAGCATCGCGAGTACTTTGTTCGGGAAACTGTCAACTTGGTAAGCATTTAAAAACAACTCCTCTACAGTGGACATTCCTTCAGCGGATTCATTTGAAAAAGAACCCGCGAACAAACTTAGCTTTGAATCCAAATTTTTTCGCTTCAAAACCACCTGGCTTTGATGCGTCAATCGTTCATCCCCCTCCTTAGGTAGGTCACCCGACCTCCTAGTCAATGCATCCGGCTTTGCCCCTTGTTTCCCTGGTCTAAATTGAATGACAAAATCGAAACGTGAAAGAAATTCCGACCAACGGGCTTGTCGACGGTTTAATAGCTTTGTTGACATGAAATATTCGAGGTTTCTATGATCGCTGAGGACTTCGATTGGGAATTGTGCCCCTTCCAAATGATGTCGCCATTCCTCAAAACATCGTACAATTGCCAGAAGTTCTTTGTCATAGATCTCATAGTTACATTCCGCAGGGGAATGTTTCTTAGAGAAGAAAGCGACTGGATGTAGAATTCCTTCGTCGTCACGTTGGGACAGGATTCCAGCAGAAACATAGTCGGATGCATCGGTTTCTACCACGATTTTTCGATCCGGATCAAAGTGCATTAGTATGGGTGCCGTTATGAACATCTTTTTCAATGTCTGGAATGCTTCCTCCCTTTCATCCGTCCATTCGAATTTAATATTTTTCTTGGTCAAAGCCGTAAGCGGAGCAACAATCCTTGAATATCCTAAAATAAACCGTCGATAAAAATTCGCAAATCCCAAAAATACTTGAACATCATGAACATTCTTTGGTGTAGACCACTCCAGAACATCGACAACTTTCTTTGGATCCATTCGATTCCCATCCGGGGTGAGAATCAAACCAAGATATTTCGTTTCTTGAACCATAAACTCACACTTCTCAGGTTTAAGATGGACATGATTCTCATCAAGTATTTTCAAAACCTTTTGAATGTGTTCCTTGTGTTCTGATAGAGTTTCGGAATAAATCAGGATATCGTCCAAATACGCCGTTACAAATTGGTCGAGGTAGGGGCGTAGAATATCATTGATCCAATGCTGAAATGTGGCAGGGGCATTCGCTAATCCAAATGGCATTACAGTATACTCGAAATGTCCATAACGAGTCCTAAACGCTGTTTTCCATTCATCCCCCTCTGCTACCCTGATTTGATTGTATCCCCATCGCAAATCCAACTTGGTATAATACTGTGCCTTTGATAGTTTAGCCAGAGTTTCCTTCAGAAGTGGTAACGGATACCGATTTTTGACCGTGATTGCATTGAGGCCTCGATAATCCACGCAGAGCCGAAGAGTCCCATCACTTTTCTTTACGAATAGTATGGGTGGTCCCGCTGGTGATTCACTGGCTCGAATAAATCCCTTGGGTAGATTTTCATCGAGGTATTCCCGTAGCGCTTTTAGTTCCACCTGGGAAAGGCCATATATTGGTCCATACGGTGGTCGTTTTCCTTCTTCTAAAACAATTTCGATATCGTGGGATGGCCGGTGCGGTGGTAGGACTGAGGCATCATACTCTTCAAACATGTGGAGACGGTGATGAAATTCCTTTGGTACTAACTGTTCGACATTGACATTAGGCTTATCCGTTCCTGAAGCGACAACCGTATGGTATTCCGGTAAGGGAATCGAAATGCCATGGACAGTAACTGCCGTTCCACTAAGTGAACAGTGTTGACAACAGTTCCGAGAATCGAAAACAAGCAGATTTTCTTTTGGTCGGATGGTAACATCATGTTGTCGCATCCAAGGCATTCCCATCACTATCGGATAGTGACTTAGATGGGTAACGAAAAACAAAGCAGTTTCCTGATGGCCATGGATATCTAACGAGAGGCGAGCAACATGGGTAATTTTTCCTGATTTGACTGGCCTACCATCGATTACCTCGAGTAGGCGTGATGTTTTCAGGGGTTCCAAGGAGAGTCCATGCTTTTTCACAAAACCTTGATCAATGAACGCATAACCTGATGCTCCCGTATCGATGAGAGCATAGGTGGGAACGAAGGAGTCGGGATTCTGGGAGACGGAACAGGTGACAACAAGAGAGTCTTCGGACATCTTATCCTCAGACACAGCAGCAGCAGGAAGAACAGAAACAGGTGGCGGGGCTGGCCCCTTTGGTTTGCCATTTTTTACCAAAGGGGCTGACCTTTTAACGCCGGCTTTGGGGACCCATTTTCAAGTGGCTTTTCTCGCTAATTGCTAATGGTACGGGGATCTTGAGAACGAGGGGTCAGGTAACGAGGCTTGGTAGGGGCATGGCGGCATTGGGGTTTGACTGTGGTAGCGGAGACGGAGATACGAGAGTGGAGATCGGCAATGGTAGCGTTGGCTTGGACTTCCCAGGCCTTCGCAACGGAGGTGATGTGAAGAATTTCATCCTCAGCATCAGCGAGATTCTCATCAGCAATGGCGAGACTTCCCTGGTGTAGTGCCAGACGGAACCGAAGCTCTTCTTCTTCAGCCTTCGATTCCTCCAACTCAATCTTCAAAGCAACGATAACCTCGTCGCGACCTCGGATGATCTCAGTAGAATCTTCCTGGTTATCGCACAAGGTTTGCCAAAAATCGGCAGCCTTTTCGTTGGCTGCTTCTAGTTCTGTGGTGAAGCTAATAATAACCTCTTCCTGGGCCGTATCGATAACGGGTTCTGGTGGCGTGGGGGTGTCGAGAGGCTTGGTGAGAGCCTCCAAACACTCAGCAATAAGACCATGAGCCTCGGTAAGTTCTTCACCGAAGTCTATATCTGCTGGGAGGGGACCATAGGTGATCAGAAATTCTGAAAGACGCTGTAGCAGCGTATCCTGGGTAGTGTCGGACATAGTCACGACCAGAACTAAGCGAGGTGGTATTGTATTGGTTGGCTGTAGAGGACGCAACCTAAGTGTAACGGGGACTATGGGCGTAGGAACTATGAAGCCAAGGAATACAACCGAGGCGAAGACGTAGATGTAGAAGGTTCGTGGACTATGGACTATAGACTATGGGGCCGAAGGGTACACCTAAGGCAAGAACGAGGACTGTGGACTATGGATGGTTATACCTGGTCTAGGATACCGGGTAAACCCTATGACGTGGCGCGAACCAAATAGTATTCGTAACTGTGAAGTACAGAGGTTGCGTAAAGAGGAAAGGAAAAGAAAGAGAAACAAGAAATCACGAGACAACGCCCCCCTTATATATCCATACCCTATCCCAATGCTGACTCATACCCTCGCATAACAGAAACAGAAAGAACATAATAGAAACCCGCTTCGCTAAACCCAACCACACTACATAATCCTTCTCCCTTATACCCAGACAACTCACATAGCCAACCCGCCTAGCTGCCGTTACAGGAGCGCTTTGTGGGAGCAATCCTGATGGCTAGTAGGAATATTCTCAGTGCTCTAGGAGCATTGGCGGTATCTTTGATTAGAAATGAATTCTTGGCGAGAAAATTTGCGCTGCTAATCAAGAAGAATTTGCACGACTAATCCTTCTACGGCAGGGATCCGCTCAACCATATCATTTGTAATCACTCGTTTTACTGTACTTTCTGAAGCAATAACGAGTGCTCTAAGATCAATCTAGGAGTTTGACTCGACTTTGAAATAAAAGCAATGCAATTACGAAACAGAATAATCTAATCTAATTCTCAAGGGGGCGAGTAGCGAATATTCCGCAGGGTAAGAAGGGTGCAGTAGGGATCAGTGTGAGAACTCCCAAGAGGGGTTTTAAGGGACTCTAGTATCGTTAAAGGACAACGGGACAAGGGGCAGCGAAGCGGTGGTCTTCTCGAGTAAAGAAGAGGAGGCTAGTATTGTAGAGTAATAGATAGCGCAGAGCAATAGACAGAGTAGATACAGAAGACGTTGCGTAAGGAAAGAAAGAAAAAGAAAAGAACAAGAAATAAGAACGAACCCCCCTAATATACGCAAGGAAATCCCAGCGCTGACAAATCCCAAGTGACTCATACATTAACGATCAACAGAACCCGGTAGAACCCAATAGAACCTTCCTGACCAATCCAATTCCTCGTAACCCTGTACATTCCCTAATCGATCCATGAAAGTAGCCCCTCCCTTCAAGCGCGAGCTCCTGCAATCCTTAACCTTAATCTTTCCTTCTAACGGTGCAGGTTTCCCGGGGTAACGTATATGAAAGATATCGACGGCGGCGATATTATCGTGTTATGTGGCGGGTTCCCAGGTAGGGTCGGTATAGTCTGTCCATTTGACAAAATATTGCAGGCCGTTGTTTCTTGTTTCCCGCGAGTCCAAGATTTCCTCAACTACATACTCCTCTTTCTGCTCAATGATAATAGGTGGGGATGGTGCTTGGATTTGCCCTGAGATAGGATCATTTACGGCAGAGTCTGCCAACGATACATGGAAGATGGGGTTCATTTTCATACTCCTAGGCAGGTCGACTCGGTACGCATATGGCGAGATGATTTCTTTGACGGGGAACGGTCCCAGTTTCTTCCAGTCCAACTTCCGAGAGTTACGGGTAGTTCGGATGTTTTTTGCTGAAACAAACACCATATCGCCGATATCATACCGCGGAGCTGGTGTTCGTTTGGTATTAATGTCCTGCTCTTGTTGATCTTGCGCCGTGCTGATATTGCAACGTGGGTGTTTATGGAGTTCTTTCATCTTCGAGGCGAAATCTTTAGCATTGAGGCTTGGTGAGCTCCTGTCAAGCAATTTAATTGTCACTGTGAACCGGGGGTGGAAACCATAGTTCACGAATATATTGTTCCATTACGGCGTTCAACCTTTCGGTTTGACTGTCGGTCTCCGGGTGAAAGGCGGTGGACATTCTTGCTTCGATGTCGAGATGTTTACAAAGAGCCCTCCAGAATTTGGCTGTAAATTGCGTACCGCAGTCAGAGGTGACACGTGTGGGTAGCCCGTGGAGCTTCTAGATATTTCGCAGATATAGTTGGGCGACGTCTTCGGAGTTGACGATGGTATTACAGGGCAGGAGATGTCGCATCTTGGTTAACCGGTCAACAACTACCATAATCACATCGTACCCTTCGCTCTCCGGTATTAAGGGGCTTTGCCCTCGATTCTATTCTTTTTACCTCTCTTTTCTTCTCTTTCTTTTGGTACGCAAAGGCTTAGGTAATCTACGCTGGCTATTGCTATTCAAGTACTATTTTCTCTTCCTTTATAAGGAGGCCATCTCACTTCTCCGACCTTCCCACCGCTAGACCTAAACTACTGTAAGTTTCTCCAACCCCTCTCGCTGATTAACCTACCAGCCCCTATGACCATCTCCCGTACCCTGCGGAATACTCGCTACCCAACTCCCTAGGATTACGTTGCGTCGTAATCCGCACCATACGCCATGTCCACCCCCAACCGACCTACATGGGTCTCTAGTAGTGGAATGTCGGACAGGATTTTGAGGTTGCCCGGGAACCGTCGCCCCACAATTCCGGGATCCGTGGCTATAGGTCGAAAAGGACGACCCGAGTCCATTCCCATCATCAGGTATACGCGTACAGGGGGTCGTGGTCGTGATTGCGGGGGCGGAGGTGGTGGTTGGAGGCTGTTGAGTAGGGTAACTCACTGTGAGTCTTGGCAACCCGTCCTGGTTCACTCCATCACCGACGCTCACAACAATCGACAACTGCACCGTACCGAGCGTGCCTTCTCTATCCTACAATCATGACGGCGTTCAAAACTGAATCATGCCGTGTTTCCCCATCTTGTGGTTCGATGAAATACACGAATTTCGGATTCTGAACCCCGGGTTACCGCATTGGGTGAATCCCACTTCGACTCTCGTAACCCTAACCGCCAACAGCCAGGTGCAAACCACCACCAAATACACATTTATGTATTTCATTTCTGCCGAAAATTCTATTTTGCACACCTAACCAAACCAGATGGCAATGCTCGTAACCCTAACCGCCAACAGCCAAGTTTAAACCACCTCGTAATACAGATTCATGCATTTCATTTTGACCGAAAACCGTATTCTCTAACCCTAACCAAAATCCCACTTCAACGATCGTAACCCTAACCACCCGCATCCAGGTTTAAACCACCACCAAATACAGATTTATGTATTTTTTTTGACCGAGAATTGTATTTTGTATACCCAAGTGAACCAGATTGCAACACTTGTAAACCTAAGCAGCAACGTACAGGTTCAAACCACGATCGAATACGCATCAATTCCTAATTCGGATTTCAATACTTGCAACCCGATGTGTGAGTGACGATCCATGACCGACATTCAATATTGTGTATTGTTGCAGTCTGGGTTTCCATCTCCCCTCGTTAGGGTTGGTCAAAATTACTAAGCAAATGGATTACTTCTCGTAACTTACTGGATTATATTTTTCCAACCCAAAAACTGAATTCTTTTGAAGCATGTTAGTTTTATCTGAGAGCCGCTAACCTGGAAACCGAAAGAAAATTTTCAAATATACTCATAAACTAAACTCTAATACATAACATTAACAACTTATAATCCTAACAAAATCAATAAAACCTTTTTGCAAACACGATCCTGTATGTCAGTAGACCACATAATATACAAAAATCTTATAGCACATCTGTTTGTATATTAAGTTATTGTCACTCTGGTCCCTGAATTGTGAACTCTTATCCCCCCCAAACCCCTTGCTTAAGAAAGGAAAACAACCTTCGTGACCGTAGCAAAATACTTATAACCTGGCATACCCAACCCCCTTATGCTCCTCTACCCCACCGAGCACTTCAGGCAGGAAAAGAAGACTTTCACAGGTCTCACCTGCCCCCAACCGATCCGGGATATCCATCATATCCCAGCAAGGCTTCCTGAACTTCTGCTTTGTGAGAACCCTACCCACAGGAATTTTTGCCCCCCCATCTTTCGCCGAAATCCAAAAGGCTCAATCAACTCAATCTACTATCATCAAACAAATCCAACTGAACAATGAACCATTCTTCATTTTCGCAGAACACACCCCATACAATGAACAATTCACACACAAATATGACTACATTTTACTCAAGGATTGTCCTCCAGGAATCAAACGCCAGAATAGCCCCCAACTATATGTATTGGGTAGTTAGCAACGCCCTCACCATCGCTATTAAACCAATCAAACAAAACACCAACCAGATCAACCGCGATAACACTGCCAATAAGACAGTAAAGGTTATCTACGCGATCAGCT